AAAAAAAAAGATAATCCTTTCATCCTTTATCCTTTTCCATAATTACTGATCGGTAAAATGGTGGGACAGATTATTTTTAAAAAATAAATTAGTATAATTTATGAAAGTAGGAATGAATTATTTTTAAAAAATTGGCACTTTAACTTAAGTAGTTAGAATCAGTCAAAAATGTTTTTGACGGCTTGAAAGAATCAAACAATGGGAAGACCTTTCACATTAGAAACCTTAGCGGCTTGACCAAGGGGTATTGCAATAATTTTTTATTTATTAAAAATATTGCAACTTTCATTTAAAATCATAATTAATGAAAGAAATTTGAGGTTTTTTTAATTTATTTTTTAACATAAAATTCTGACCACTTTGAAGCATTCCAAGTGGAGTAGATGTTGAATTATGATTGGTACACATTGACTTTCGCATTCCAAGCCAAAAAGCTTGAAAAATAATATAATTTTTTTAAATATCTTTAATTTTTTAATGATAAAAATTAAAAAAAATGAAAAATAAGAATTAGAATCCATTATCTTCATCTTCTATAATGTGAAAAACAAAAAGGAAAATGATACTAATCGCCTGTATGAACTAGTTGATTAAGATTTGGATGATGTGGATTGATTATATGCTGACTTTCTCTCTCCTTAATTAAATGTGTTAAGGAGATAAAGGGTTGAAAAATTCAAAAATAATAATAAAAAAAAAAGAACAATCGACAAGTCAGCATCAGTAACATTGTCTTGAATCTTGAACATACTATTCAATTTAATAATACTCACAATAAAAAAACTTTGAATGAGAGTCAAGACTCAAGAAACATCTCTCATTAAGAATTACTTTGAATGAAGGTTATACTGGTGGCCCTCACTATCATAGGACTTTTGAGGGCCAACATGTGATCGCGCTAAAACGCCTTTTTTTTTTTTTTCTTTTGTAGTGATATAATTCAAGCAAGAGTTATATCCAGAAAAGGAATATATTAAACTTCAGAGAACTATAGATTAAACTCGTACCGAAAAATTAGGAAATTTGAAGTCAATCTTGGGAAAGACGCATTTCCATATTCTTTTTTCCTTCACCATCGTATGAATTCCATACTCTTTTCCAACATTTTTTCCATGCAAATCACTGTAACATTGAAGTTTCACGAAATTCTTTTTAAAACTTTTGTTATAACCGGTTTTCATAACATGTAAATAGAAATGAAAAAAATTTATTACGTAATAGATTTAAAAAAAAATAACGAAAAAAAATTTTAATTTTGATATCATATTAAACATTTAATTTAAAATTAATTAATTTTAAATTGAATACTTAACATAATATCAAAATTAAATTTTTTTTTGTTATATTTTTCAAATTTATCACGTGATAAGTTTTTTTTTTTCTTTCGCTTACACGCGATGAGATCTATTAAAGTAGATTATCACATATTTAATAAATATTAATATCTTATAATCTTATATTCAAATTAAGCTCATTCATTTATTATCAATTGTTTTTAAGTTAGATGTTTAATAATATTTTTTAAAAAATTAAAATTATTTATATTTTTAAAATAAGTTTTGATATTTTTATTATATTCAAATAAATCCTTATATTTTGATTTACATTTAAATAAATCCTTATTTCACATAAAAAAACAATTTATATTAAAAACTTATGTAAAAATAAATTAAAAATTAAAAATTTTATTTAAATACAAATTAAAAATTAAAAGTTTATTTAAGTGTAAATTAAAAATTAAAAATTTATTTAAGTAAAGTTATAAAATTTAAAACTTTTTTTAATTATTTTAGCCTTTTTTTTTTCACCCAAGACAGCCTACTTGTCACCCTTCTTAAGTATAAATATAAACAAGTAATTTGGAAACAAAAACCTTTATTTGTAACTTCAGCATATTCCCAACCGGAAATCTCAATTTCATTGAACAATAATATTAGTTGCATCGATTGTCATTAATAAACAGTGATATTATGATGTAAATGAAAAAAATTTTGATTTGAAATCCATGTACGAGATGGATAGAAGAATTTTCACCACATTGAACAGGAAGTTTTATGATGGAATCTTATGATTGATTTTTTAATTAAGTAAGATTTAGTCTCTTTTTTTATTTTATTTTAAATGACAATGATGGATTTGCTTTGATCATGAAACATAAATATTGTATAATAAAATTTATTAAAAAAAAAAAACCTGAAATTTGGTGGCTGTCATGTCATGCATAAATAACTTCCTCTTTTTCTGATATCAGCTAATTAAATAAAGTTATTAAAAATAATTTATAATTTTGTTACTCGGCAATTAACATTTAAGAAGTGGATAGAACCATGTCAGTCCATTTGCATTTTAAATTTAGAAAATGCACCTTCACCCTATCAATATGCAATAATAAACGCACCAAAACCAAGAAAAAGATAGAAAGAAAGAGGAACGAGTCAATGGTCTAATTTTCTATTCAAATTAAATTGAAAGCTATATTAGAAAATTATTTCTTTCTTTATTATTTAAAAAAAAAAAAACTTATATTAGATTTATTATTATTATTATTTTGTTCTATGAACCTTGTGGGCTATGACAGCGGCAGCTTAATAAGGTTCATATTTACGCAAACAATTAGCCATAAATTACGGCATGCCATGTACATATCCGTTAACCAATATTGTTTCAACATCTTTAATATTCATACCTTTTTTTAATTAATTAATTTTTTCCTAGGAATGAGAGAAAGTTTCTTTTACAAATTTCAAAAAAATAAAGTGATTATATATATATATATATAGTTACATTAGTAAGATAAAGTAAGGATAAAAAAAAAAAATTTGGTTCGAAATCAAATTTTTTATTTTTTTTAAATATTTTTAATCATTAAATAAAAATATATGTATAAATTTAAATTTTAAATTTATGAAAAATCATTGTATTGTATTAAAATTTAAATTTATAAAAGAAAGCTTTTAAATAATTTATAAGTTGAGATCATAATCTCATTTGAATAATCTTTAATAATAATAAAAGGCTTTTACATTATATATTAAATTTACAAAAAAATAAGTACACATATATATTATTTTGATGCTTAAAATATATAAAATTAATTCGAGTATTACGTCATTCGAATTGGTGATGTTGATTTTAAATTTTGACACATGTAATTATGTCGTTTATACTTATAAAATGACGATTCAAAATATAAAATTAAACACTAATATTTAGCAACTTTAGGCTTTTGAATTTTTTTTTCCAAAATTTTGATGTCTCTGACCAATTAACATTTAATCTTTTCTTTTGCATTTGATATTACAAGAAACTTTACCATAAGCCAACAAGCCAAAATATGTTATCTTTCGAACTCTTTTTTAAGAAAAAAAATTTATATGAATCGATTAATCATGTCATATAATTATTTTGAAATGGCAAAAAAATGGATTAAATTTCTTTATCTTTGTTCAAGATATATATGAATGTCAAGGTTTTTTATTTTTTTTTATTTTATTTGAATTGAAATTCAAATACAATTTTTTGAAAAAAAAATTAAAAATATGTATCAATTATTGAGTTAAATGTTCGGATAAATAAATTTAAAGATATTGTAAAGCTAAATTCACTTAAAGGGAATGAAAATGAGAGAAGTAGTTCGAGAGGAATGTCAGGCTGCGGATCAATTAGGCATAGAAACAAGTAGCTATTAGTAAACATCAATGGGATGGTTACAGGTGAACTACTTAGTTTTTCTTGGCACAGCAATGCAATATATCAATTGCATAAACGACGGTCTTAAAGACAAATTCGGCAACAACTCTTCATAAATACTATCTTCATAACAACATTAATCCCTCACCTTCAAAAATATTTTTGATTTGATCCACTCTACCCGATTTTCGGTTCCAAACGACTGATTTTCGAATTTTTTTTATTAATTTAAGTAATTATTACTTAGTTCGAATTTTCTTCCAATATTTCATTGACTGAAAGATATAAAGTCAAATTGTATTACAGTTATGTCCCAAATTTTCATAAATCCTAATAAAAACTTTATTAGTTTATATACTCATTTTTTTTAAAAGGAGTGCTATGTTTAATTTTTTTATAAAAAAATATAATTTAAGATAAAAATATTATAAGTATTGAAATTTAAAATTTAAATTTATTAAATATTATTTTTGAAAATAATTTTATAAATTAATTGAATTAAATTTAATTATATTTTCCCTTTCAACTATTAGAGAATAGATTATACTGAACCCTTGATGTTTGTTGGTCAAGACAAAATGTGTGAAGAACTCAAGACATGGGAGTTGAAAACGTGGGAGACTAGAGAAACGGGCTAAAACGGAAAGCAATAGGAAAGAAGGAAGGAGCCGGTGACGTGGTGTGGGCATCAGCAAAAGCAGCAAAGGGTCTATCCCACGTGCCGAGAGGGGGTGTCTGCTACGGTCAAATGACGGTGCCAAAGTGCCACGTGTAAGCCTAATTTTCCAAAAAGTATTAATAGTTTTTCAAGTTTGAATATTTGACCGCATTTTTTCTCTTCTATCGTCTCTCTCACTTCTCAGCCTATTCCATCTCCTTCATCATCCTCCTAAAAAGGCATTCTTTTACTATAACCTGTTGCTGGTAGTCTTCGCTGACTTCACCTCCACTCCCCACGCTCCCTTCTAGCGCGTCTCCTCCTTTTTGACTAAAATATATGCATGATACTTGTAAAACAGTATGTAATCTATACTCATCATTTAGATTTTAATGTAGTGTTTTTTACCTTTGTCTTAGGGTGAATTTGGATCCAATTATACTTCCAATGAGATGTAATTAACTTTCAAAAATTATCAATAAAATCTAAATGATAATTTAATAAGATGCATTTGATCAAATATAATACAAATTTTTTATTAAAATTTTCAAATTCTATGTAAATTTTTTTTAATCACAATTATAATAATTTATATCTCTTTTTTTCAATTTCATTAAAATTAATCTCACAACTCATCTAAATAGATTATAAAAATCCCATATCTCATCCTTTTGTCATTTAATTGAACCTTTTTTCTATTATTGTACAGAACATGAAACTTGGTAGCAAGGGTAGGGAAATGTTTCCATACTAGAAGCCACTTTTTGCTCTCCTCATTGGATGGTGTTTTCTCAACCATCTTTATAAACTGGCAATCAAACAAAAGTCCTATTCAAAGCTAAAGACTCTTTCTCTCTCTGTCTTCAGCAAGATCTGTATATATAACTCAAACAACATAAAAAGAGATGTCATGAAACCCTGAAAGTCCAAAACCAAAACAAATATTTGAGACCCAGATCATAAATTTAAGTTTTCTCTCTCCCATATTGCTTATTCTTTGTTCCGTTGTTCTTTCTCCATGTCGGATCATGAATTTAGAGACTTCTACTACCGTGCAAGTACATTCCACAACGATAACCAGCAAAGTGTTGGTGAAACAGCTGACATGTATAGGGTTTCAGCATCATCAGTTGATCCTTCATACATGAGTTTCACTGATTGTTTACATAGTAGTTCCATGGACTATGGTTCACTTGAAAAAGCCTTTGGTTTGTCACCTTCATCCTCTGAAGTGTTTTCTTCAGTCGAAGGCTGCAATCAGACGACGAAGCACCAGGTTGGTGCAGGGGATTTAGGAGGCAATAATACTAGTGAAGTTGTGACAACTCCTAATTCTTCTATTTCTTCTTCCTCAAGCGAGGCTGGTTGTGAAGAAGATTCAGACAAGAGTAAGAAAGATAGGCAGCCAAAAGGATCGGAAGATGGAGGAGAAAGCTCTAAGAAAGGGTAACTAAGTTTTTCTCTTTAATTTTCTCCATATTGCTAATTAATCCATGATTATCACTCTAATATATAAGCATCTGGGGTGTAACTGGTTGTGTTTATTTTATCTAACAGCAACAAGGCAAAAAAGAAAGAAGAGAAAAAGCAAAAAGAACCACGATTTGCTTTCATGACTAAAAGTGAAGTTGATAATCTAGAAGACGGGTATAGATGGAGAAAATATGGACAAAAGGCTGTGAAGAACAGCCCATTTCCAAGGTTCGTTTTTCCTATCTTAAACAATTACAACCAAACAAATATTGAAATAATCTAATTATCTTCTATTATTCTGTACAATCAAATAAACTATATACAAAAACCATGTCTGAAACCTGGATTAAGGGTTTTCGGTGTGCTTGCATTATCTTTTCGCCCTCTTTTTTGACTACAAAGATGAGTCAATATATGAAACTTAAGGTGTAAGTAACTAATAACTTTGATGGGTTTGTGTAATTGTTTTTGCAAGTTACTGAAAGTCTGGAACTTTTTTATTCCTTAGCCAATTCCCTATATACGACTGGATCTAGAGTTTCTTCCTAGAACAAATATTTCCGGCTACCTTAATCTTAATTTTCTAATCCTGCTTTGCTAATCGACATATTTCTGATTTATCAATTCAGAAGCTACTATAGGTGCACTACTCAGAAGTGTACAGTCAAGAAAAGGGTTGAGAGGTCATTCCAGGATCCATCAATTGTGATCACAACATACGAGGGTCAACACAACCACCCACTTCCCACAACACTGAGAGGAAGCGCAGCAGGGCTATTCCCACCTTCCATGTTAACGCCATCGCCACAGGCGGGGCCAGGCTTCCCGCACGGATTGTTTATGCAGATGCCTCATCACATGAATTATAGCCAAGCTGGTACAGATTCAATGTTTGCGGAAAACTTTAGCCCTTTTCAGCAGTACCACTACCATCAGGTTCCTGACTATGGACTTCTTCAAGACATGGTTCCTTCCAGGTTCCTTAAGCAAGAACCATGAGTCTCTTCTACATCTTTTACTCCTTGTATATACATATATATTTCATATAACTTCTCTAGAGCCTAAGAATTATTCTTCAGTTACGGATCTGAAAAGGCCTAACATCAAGGACTAGATGGGAGTGGGAATATGCTTTTCTTTGCACTTGAAAACTTGGTTGAGTTGCCATATGCATTTAGTGAAAAATGCTTCTTTGATAGTAGACGGCTGAGGGTGATCATAGTTGATTTTGAAGGAAAAAAACCTAGTTTTGAGAGGATTTGCTTTGTTTATCATCATCCTTGATGGAATTATTAATGAAGAATGCGATTATAAATTTCCTTTAGTACTTTTCTTGAGCTAGCTAGTTTATGATCTGAACTCTGAATAAGCAAAATCGGGTTTGAACTTTCCAAAGTGATCAAGTGATCATGGACCCTTCCAAGCAACTTGCACTGTTGAATATATACAAACTTGCATGAAAAGATAAATTTGACTTCCGTTTCGATGGACACTAAATTTTCTCCTCCTTATTTTTGGACTTTGTAATTATGAGCCATCCTGTCTGAATAGACAGAATCCTTGTTCGAAGTTCATATCTAATAAGGAGGTAGTTTCCCAACCAAAATTTGAGGGTGTCATGGCAACTGGCCTAACATCCTTTATATAACCAAACTTACATGTAAAGATTTTTAGGTGAAGTTGTGAAAAATTTTTTTAAAAAAATGGTTTAATAAAAATTTTAATAAAAATCTAAATAGATAAATTGATAGAATTCAAGTTGAATATTAATAATATGTAAAAAAAAAAATTAAAAAATTATTTATAATTCAAATTTAATCGATACTTATTTAAAGATAAAAATTTTATCAATATTTTTATTAAAAATATCTATCTAAAACTATATATTAAAATTTATTAAAATTTTTAAAAATTTTACACATATAATCTATGTAACGAAATTTTTTAATCTATCAAATTTAATTTTTGAATTTAATTTTTATTAATAGTTTCTAGTAGAATATTTTATAAACTTCACCCAAGAAATTTTATCTAAGTCCTTCTCGATTATTTATAGCTAAGAAATTATCACATCTAGCTAAATTGAAAATTTTAAATATATTTTTGTATTAAAAAATTAAAATAATTAAAAAAAACATATGATAAATTTTAAACTCAGACTTGTAGACACCGGATTTTGTCCGGGTCTACATTTTTTATAGTAAAAAATTAATTAATTAAAAAAATTAAATTTTTAAATAAAAAAAAAGAAAAAGAAAAAAAGAAAGACAAACGAAAAATCCAAACATAAGAAACAAAATGGAAAGGGTTGGTGCCAGCGGGTGCCGTACACAGCACCGCTGGCCACCCACGTCCTGCCACTATTCCAGCTATCATACCACCTCCTCATCCAGTCCCTTCACTCCATCAGCACACGTAACCACCATTTCTAACCTTATAAAATACTTGATCTCCCTCCTCTAAAATGGTTGGAGATCCTCTCACTAGAACACCAAAAAAAATGCACACTCAAACCAATAGCCACCACCAAAAAAATCTCTCAGATACAAAAAAAAACTCAAACCAAACACCCTCTAAATACTCAAACAGATCTACGAAAATACAAAAAACAAAAAAACAAAACACAGTCCTCTCCGCAGGGAGGAACCCAGCGCCGAGTCACCTGCACTAAGAAGAATGGTATCAGTTAGCTTTCGAAAAAAAAAAAAGAGAAAGAAAAGAATATCGAAAACTTCAAAATCCGATCTATGCGAATTAAGGCCATTTTCGATGAAAAGAGCATCAAATCAGAGCTCAGGAGGTTGAATAGAACCTCTTGATCACTTTTGAAGTTTACGGCCACTGACGACCACCGCCGACGGTGGACTAGGCGGCGACCGACGCAGTGCTCCAGCTGTCGGACGACGAGAGCACCAGACCTCTCCTAGAGCCCTCTTTCCCTTTTTTTTTTCCTCTGAAACAAAAAAGTGTACTGGAAAAAAAAAAGGCTGACTTTTATAAAGAAAACATAAAAGCAAAACGACATCGTTTTGAGCATAGAGCCAAAACGAAGCTGTTTCAAGCGTAAGAGGATTCGCGCGTGGATTGAACCCGACCCAAGATTCACGTAAATCGACCCGCCAACCTGCCTCAGCCACCTTTCAGCTGGTTCCGACGAACCATCAGTGAACCGGTTGAACTGGTCCGAACCGCTTATTGAACCGTCGAACTGATCAAATCGATCCAAATCAGCGTTGACCGGACCGTTAATCGATTCGGTTCAGGTAAAAAAAATTTTTTTTAATTTTCAAATTTTTTTATATATATTATTATTTTTGTTATTTTAAGTTTTTATATTTATGCATGATAAAAATATTTAAATTTATTAGGATAAATATCTAATTATTTTTAATAATAATAAATAATAATTAAAATAAGATAATAATTAAAATATATATTAAAAATGCTTAAAAAGGAATAATAATAATACTTTTGATTATTTTCCTGCTTAGATATTGGAGGGAATAAAACATATTCTTAAAAAATAATTTCGCCTAGATGTTGGGGAATTATTATTAATAAATTTTCAAAAAAAATGAAATATATAAGAAATTTTTTATTGATTTTCAAAAATTATAGAAAATTGAACTTGCTCTGAAATTTTTAGAGATGTTTGTGTTTTAATTAAACTTCAAACTTAAACCTTAAACCTTTACCCTAAATCTATTTCAAAATCTTAAGGATACGTGCGAAAATTTCATATAAAATAGTTTGTTCCCGAATGTTACCTAAATGATGGAGTATTTAGGAAACTCCATTTCATTAAATTTTTCACACGAGTTCTTAATTCACATTAATAATAAGATTAATAAATAAAAAGTATAATAATAAATTGAGATCTTAAAATAAACAGTGACACCTAAACTCTGTCTAAAAAGTATAATAATAAATTTGGATCTTAAATATAAACAGTGACACCTAAACTCTGCCTAAATGTTGGAGAGTGGGGGTGGTTTCATTATACTTAAGAACCTAACTTTAAAATTACATCTCATTCCACATAACATTCATTAGCATACATCTGTCAGCGTGTTATCATTGGTAATTATTTGTATTATTCTATTTTTAATTTTCATTTACTATTTGATGATAAAATATTTTATAAATAAAAAAGAATAATACTTTAAAAAAAATTATGATATTATAAAATAAAATAAAAATAACATTCCGAAAGAAATAATTCTTGGTACTCTGTCTAGATGCTAGAGAGTCACTAACAATTATTTTCTATAAAGATTGTTATTTCATTTTAAGGATTATTGTGTTAAATTTTAAGCAAAAAAGAGTTATTTTAAATTCTGGCTAGATGTTAGAGAATTTTAAGATAATTCTTTAACTTAAAAATTTTTTCAATATTTCTAAATAAAAATTTTAGCAAAATTTTATTTTTCCAAATGAAGGAAATTAGTGTTCAATTTTAAATTAAAATTATTTTTATTCAACATAAAAAATAACGTAAAATTAAATGGTATCAATTTATAGGTATTGTAGGGGTACTAATCATTCTCCACACGTAACCAACTCTCGGATCTAACTTAATTTTTCGTATATCGAAATTTATCTTTTTGATAAACTTTAAACCCGTTTTTATAATTTTATTAAAAGGATAAATTTTTAGGTGACTAATCACATCCTAACAAAAATTTGTGGTGACGCCTCTCTTTTATTTTGATTTTAAAACTCACTTACGTTTGACAGTCCTAAAACCATGACTTAAAAAAATTGTTCTATCATTATATAAAAAACAAACTTTATACAGTAACCCTGAATTTGGATTTTTTTTTTTTTTTACATTCATAGTTTTATAAATTATAAGTGAAAATTATTCTTGGTATTGTATAGTTTAATTAATTGAATTTAAGGTGAGTGCCCATCTTACCTAGATTTTAAATATTAGTCAATTGTAAAAATAGACTTTTGAGAGACGTAGGAGCCACGTTTTTCGGTCAAGACTTGAACGAAATTATTGGGACATTGGTTTCGTGTTGAAGTCACCAAAATTCCAGGGAAGAAAACAGCTGAAAAATCTCTGGTCCTATGCTCCTCTAATGAAGCGAAGCGTTGAATATATATAAAGAAATTCCTCAGTCACATGCAGTCAAGATAGAAGAATTAAGTGTTCATTAAGAAATGGTTTGTTGCTTTGCTTAACATTGATTAATCAAAGGGGAAATATTTTCACCGACATGGAGTCGGTAAGAATTAAATATTTCGTTTTGATTGATTTTTGTTCTCAATATTGATAGATAATATGTAAATTTTCATTAAAATTTATGATATATTCTGATCCAGAAATAAGATAACCTCTTCTCACCTAAAAAATATAAGAACAGTGAAATGCTTGTTCATGTCAAGAATTTAGATAAAAGTAAGTACAGATTTGAGAAAAGAATGAAACCATAATTTATGTTTTTCAGTCGTTATCAAATGCACCTAACAAACCCAAATTAATAACAAATTAAATAAGATATTTTCCGGATGAATCAAGTAATTGCCAAACAGAGTATACAATTAAGTTATAAATCCATACTTTTTTTTAAATTACTACTATTTTTCCAGATTTTTTTTTTCATTTTTAAAACTCTAAAATTTGATATTTACCCAACAATTAGTCTTATCAAACATGACCAAGTATTGGCAAAAAAAAAAAAAAAAGTAACACTTCAGGTAAGAAACTAATGGTTCTAGAAGACTTAGAGTAACTTTTATCATATGCAGATTAGACAGATTTTGTAATAATACGACTTTAAGAATAACATTTCAACAGGCCTTAGCATAATAGCATGTGCCATTGTCCTTTCATACTCTTAAAATAATCTGTTGATTGATAAAGAATTCAACAATATAATTGTTGAATTCACCTGCAGTCTGGCCATGTTAAATAACCAATGTCAGTTTTCCTGTCTTGCAACTGATGATTGTCCATGTTTGATCATATATAAAATATTAGTTAATTAAATAGACAAAAACAATGAAGAATAATGGGTATATCATTGAATAAATGCAACATAAAACTAGACGTCACGTATGACGAAACTTGAATTTGATGTCTTAAGAATTCAAAACCTTTATCTTATCAATAAATCAAAATAATAACTTTTTTTTGCCATCTAGTTTAATGGAGTTCGTTGTCAAAATTAAAATCTGACTTTCTAGGTTTTGACTATAAATAGAAGCTTGTTAAAAGAGATTTTGGAATAGTACAATAAGAAAAAAAAATTAATGAAATAAATTTTAAAATTTCAAATCAATTTAATAATTGACCATATTAACATTTTTATAATATACTGTTAATATCCATTTTGAAAGATGTTAAAATGCTTAATTCCATAGATTTTCAAACATTTTATAGTTTTTCATATAGTTTAGAGATTATTTTGAAGTTTGGATGTTCATTCGATTTGTTCAATTAATTTTGAATTGGATTATATAAAATCGAATTTTTTAATTTCAAAATTAATAGACCAAAATCAATTCAGTCAATTTTATTAATTTTTTTGATTAATTAAATAATAAAATACATAAAAAATATTTTAAATTCTTATATTCTCATATGTAAAACAAATGAAATAAAAAATTTCATATATCTTTAATTTTATACATAAGTTTTATTATATTTCGATTAATTCAATTTTTGAATCGAATTAATTGAAAATAAAAAATTTCTTAAAATTATTTTTAATAATTGATCAAAATTAATTCGATAGCTAATTAATTAATAAAATTAAATCAATTAAGTTGATTAATTCTGTTAAAACCAAATTATGAACATGTCTACTTTGAAGGAGGGTTAATGGATTATTTGATTGGGTCAAGCTAAGGGACCGGCCCATCATTTTCAGCTTGCAACTAGGCCCTAAATAGACACCAAACAAGAAGCTGAAGTTTTTATATTTAAGGTCATTTGAAAGCCCAAGTTTTAATTTATTAAAAAATGTGTTTTATGGTTATACGACGTCATTTAAATCAACTTCCGAGAGGGAGGCCGATGTTAGTACAAAGTTTGAAGAGAAAATTTGAGTCTGGGCTCAGAAAATCATTTGCAAAATCCCAATTGGTATTTCATCAGTTATCATTTCTGTTAGATTGTCAATTATACTATTACCAAATCACATTTACCTAAACCAATATTAAAACAATATACAATCATGAACCAGTTTGACCATTGTCGAGCAAGAAAAAAAAAAGCAATTATTTTTATCAATTGATTTAAAACATCCAAAAAAAAAAAAAAAAACAAGATTAGGTGGGTTCCTTAATCTGCACTTTTGCATGCAGCCAAAGGAAAAAACTATTCCATTCTGTCCCCATCTACCAAGAAAGTATGACCATTTCTACGATGGAGAAAGAAAAAAAAAGGGAAAGTTTCCATAAGTTGACGCACATTGTAATAAAAGTGGTCAATTGTGCCAAGTAAACTATTTATGATGGACGGTTGCAAATTGAAATCAAAAGTCAATTACACAAATCAAATTTGACTGTTCATAAATAATATTAGAGTCAATGTCATTAATAGTATCTAAATTACAATAAAATATTTAATAAAATAATTAAATTTTAAAATTTTTTAATATAATATTTAAATTATAAATTTATTAATTAAAGTAATATGTATCTTTACTATGGTTAACATCAATACCTAAAAAATTATTAAACTTTCAACTATTATATTAATTATCAGATTAATAATTTAAAAATTATATTAAAAATTTATAAAATTTAAACATCACATTTAATATTTTTATAATAGTTTGAAGTAAATCTAATAATTTGTAATTTATATCATATAAAATATTAAAATTTATGTATTTATTTCAAGTTTTATATAAAAATTACATTTCAAAATTTATATTGACATAAAAATATATAATATTTTTTATTTTATTAAATTTATATATAATAATTATTAAAAATTTAAATTATATTATTTTTATATTTTTATTTCATATTTTAAATTATCATATTTAATTTAAAAATTATTTATGATATTAACTCGTTATATTATGCCACGTTGCAAGACGACATACATAACAGCAATCACAATCAAAATTTCATCAAACTTTGAAAAAGTAAGAAATCAAAAGAAAATGGACAGGTCTTAGGGGCCGGGATGAAGGTCTACGAGTTGCCGGTCTATTTTAAGTTTTAACAGCAGATCCACTCTCCCAAAAAATACTCTTAAAATATTACATAAAATTATAAAATAATAATAATAAAAAAAAAACACTTAAGAATAATGCAAGTATCAAGCATGCGATGCAACCTCTAAAAAAATATACGTTTTTAACCTTTTTCACAATTTAAAAGTTTTAAGTATTTAAAAACAAAAGAAGAAATAGTAAATTTTTTAATTTGAAAAAAAAAAGTTAATTACTAAAATTCTATGTATGAATAAATTTTATTATATTTATAATTTATTTATTAAATTAATAAATTTTAAAATATTATTTATAATAATTTATTAAATTTAATAAATAATAAAATAATTATTCATCAAACTTTTTGTTGACTTGCATCATTAGCAAATCTTAATATTATTGAAGTTCGGAGAAAAATAATAATAAATAATTATGAAATTTAAATTGAAAGTACAAAACTTAATTAGATTTGATGGTTGATAACATTAGTTTTAATTTTGGTAGAATTGAAAATAATTATAAAAGTTATAATAATTGTAATTAAAAAAATTATTATAATTATTTTTGAAAAATTTTAATAAAAAACTTATATTTAATAAATTTTATTAAAATTGATATTTTGATACAATTAATAATATAATGAGCTCAAACATAGGACATTGATGTTCGTAGAATCCAAACCTAACCTCTAATTAGAACGGTAGTCCTAATTAATTGTAATAATAAGGTATTATATTAGTTAACTGTTTTGTTCTTTTTTTCTTTTTTTTTTCTTGATTGTCAGTAACTTGTATTTCTCATTTTCTGATCTATCTCGCAAGTCCCATTCACGCCCAAAACTGAAAGCAAAATAGCAACCAGAATACCCAACCCCAACAACAGCACGTCGGCAACAACAACCGTTTGGGAGAGTGAAAACGACGTCATATCTGAACATTTTCTCTGTTCTTCAAGCAAGCCGCTAAGACATCTCTATCTCTTTAATCTCCTTCGTTTCCGAATCTTCCATTTGGCTCTTTATTATTAAAAATGAAATTGTTGTTTTAGGGGATTGTATCTATGAGCATGTACTAGCAGAGCACCTTCTCTCTATTCTACTCATTGTTTTTCTCTTTCTTCGGTAGCCATTTCTTTCCTCTTCTTTGGTTTTTACTCTTAATTTGGGATATTTTTTGGATTGATTTGATTCAGTGCTGTTGCAATTTTTACAGTTGGAGGAGGTTATTGTTTGATCCAGAAAAGAAATGGTGGTTTCTGGGCCAATTACACCTGGACAAGTACGGTTTTGCATTTTATTTATTCAATGTTTTTGGTTAAGTTTAGATTTTGTTTTGAGATTTTGTAATTTGGATGAATTTGGACAATGCTTGATTTTTGAGCTGAAAATATTTTTAGTAGTTTTTGCAAGTATTGATTTCTATATACTAATTTTGGACTCCGTTATTTCGTTATTTAGATTAAATGTTTCTTTTTTTTTTCTATAGAATCTTAAAGCTTATGCATATCTCATAAATTTTTGTAGAAAATGATTTTTTATATATATATTATAGACGAACAAAAATGATGCTACTTCGGAGGTTTGATTTTATTTTCCCTCTTTGAATTAGTGCAAATTTTTTATTTTTATAAGAATTTAAGAATTTTTATGGTTATTGGAATCTAGTGTGATGTGTGAAGAGATCTGACTTGTAGCTTAGTGACAGTGTAGATAATCTAATGAATTATGGTTGTGATAATACTTGTCTTCATAATGTACGGAATCTAATATGGTATTGGGAAAGTTTTTGAAGTTTTACTTGATATTTGATGAAAATAACTTATTTACATTTGTTATAATGTGGGAATGGTATTTTAATTCATTCAACATCTACTTGCAGTTGGGGTTTCGTTTTTCTTCTTTTAAAGTTCATTGACCATGCCTATATCTGTATATTTCACTTCCCTATTCTAACTTTAATTATGCCACTTATTCTTACACATGTAATATTTGATCTTTCTTTGCAATTTTCTGCTTGTTTTGTTTTCTTGTATGCACTAGTTTTGCCTGAAATACTTAATGAAGCCTTTTTTATTATGCTGCAGGTGGCTTTTCTCTTAGGAGTTATTCCAGTTTTCATTGCATGGATATATTCAGAGTTCCTAGAATACAAGAAATCTGCATCTCATTCTAAAGTGTAAGAAATCGTTTTTCTTAGGAGTTAACATGGGTGCACAAATTTGATAGGGCTTATATCACTATTCTTTGGAGTTATTTACCTCAATATTTTTTATGCTGATGACTGAGTTTCAATTTGCAGCCATTCAGACAATAATCTGGTTGAATTAGGAGATGAGACAATTAAAGAAGATGACCGGGCTGTTTTGCTTGAAGGAGGTCTCACAAGATCAGCATCTGCTAAATTCCATAGTTCATCCATCAAAACGAACTTGATTAGGTTGCTTTCTTTGAGTTTCAATGTTGTTCTGGAGTTTTCCATGATTGTACTCACACTTATCTTACCATTTCCTTCTTATGATTTTCCAGGTTTTTGACTATGGAAGATACTTTCCTACTGGAAAATCGGCCAATTTTAAGAGCAATGTTAGCCATATGCAGAAATACACTTTTTTTTTTCAGCTTTCTATTTCTTCTTATGTTTAACTATGCAATTAAATGCAGGGCTGAGGTTGGGGCTATCCTGGTGTACTTCTATATATGTGACCGCACAAATTTCCTAGGAGAATCTACCAAGGTGCTTTTATACTTCTTGTTTGTGTTACTAATTGTTATTCATGATTTCATCTGTGATTTTTTTGGAAAAGCTTCTCAAGTATACTGTTGCATCTGCATTCCTAATAGGGTCTTGATTTTCATTTTTATATGTAATTATATTTTTTTCTGCTTTCTGGTTATGTTGGTGCCTTCTTTTTATCCATGTCCATCTTGTTCTTCTTAATTCCTTTCCCCTTCACAATGACAGAAAGAGGCGTTCAAGTGAATTTTACATCTATTACCCTTGGAGCTCATTGTTTTTCTTAGTTACTTTCCTTTTAGGTGAATTATATTTTGTAGAAACAACCTTATTTCTTCCCTTTGTACTTGCATCCTTCCTTGAGTCCTCTACTTTGGGGGGATATTTAATCTTTCTGTAATAATCAGTTTGTGATCACTATGTCCTCTGGCTAATAGTTCAATAGACAGGAATACCATACATTGCCCGAAAGGCTGAAATTATTTTCTTCTCTTGTGGTTGGAAATGTTTGATGGCTAAGTTTTTCCCTCTTTAAATGGTTTAAAGTGGCTGTATATTTGCAAATTGATGGTAGCTTGAGGGTTAATGCTTTGTTATCAAACGTTGATGAACACTATAAGGAATTATTTATCTATTTTATATTATTTCTTATGTGTGTTTCCTGACAGAAATACAACCGTGACCTTTTCCTCTTCCTCTACGCTCTTCTCATCATAGTTTCAGCAATGACTTCTTTGACAAAACATAATGACAAATCGGCATTCTCTGGAAAGACCATGCAATACCTCAGTAGGCACCAGACTGAAGAATGGAAAGGATGGATGCAGGTGAGTGTTTATTGTTAGACTTGTAACCTGTTAAGGAGTAACTACTCGAGCTTAGGCACCTTATAAACACCTAATTCTAAAAAGAGGTACTTAGATTATATTTCCTGATGTTCTTTTGTGTTTACTTTCCTCAATATGGTAATTTTATTTTTAAATGTCTGAAAAGGTTGAAGGTGATACCTATCTCCCGAAAATACCTTTTTCCATTTGGTCATAGCTACCTAAATTATGATTTGATAATGTTTTATGAAAATTTTAATCTCAGCGGTTGTTCATTCGATTTTTTTTTATATTTTTTTCTCGTTAATTTATTGTAATATTGATAAAAATATTTCTATAAATGGTGAAACTATTACACGGGCCAATTCTTATCCCTGTCAGATTTATGGGATTGTTTGTGTTTGCAGTTCCATGGAATCCATGCTATCCACTGACTATTTCCAAACGGTTTCTAGAAGTTTTGTCAGCTTCACTTACATGTCTCTTTTTGCTTTTACAGGTCCTATTTCTAATGTACCATTACTTTGCTGCGACGGAGATATATAACGCAATACGTGTCTTCATTGCTGCATACGTTTGGATGACTGGATTTGGCAACTTCTCATACTATTATATTAGAAAGGATTTTAGTTTAGCACGTTTTACCCAGGTAATATTCTCTATGGGCTGTAATTGCCAAATCTGCATTCCATTTGTGTAGTTCTTTATAATTTTTACATATCAATAAACCTGAGATCCTCCTGTAACTTCAATTTGATGCAGATGATGTGGCGACTCAATTTCTTTGTGGCATTTTGCTGCTTTGTTCTCAACAATGACTATATGCTTTACTACATCTGCCCAATGCACACACTTTTCACCCTGACGGTGTATGGAGCTCTTGGGATTTTCAGCAAGTACAATGAGATACCATCAGTGATGGCTGTGAAAATTCTTGCATGCTTTCTCGTAGTTATCTTTATTTGGGAAATTCCTGGAGTTTTTGAAATATTCTGGAGTCCATTGGCTTTCCTTTTAGGTCAGCAAGCTACCTACCTCTTTCCTCTACTTTTTATTCGATTTATCAACTTACTAGTAATTCTCAGCTTAGAAAGTTCTTCTCATTATATTTAGCTCCCTTGATATGCTCCTAAATCATTTTCTTTTAATATATTTTATTGCATTTTAATTGGGAACGTCTTGCTTTCAAATATTTTTACCTAACTTTTGAATGAACCTAGTTGAATTTAATTTTTAATATTTATTTTAAAGCAAGTTCATTCTTCTTGGGTTGGATATGTTGTAGCTGTTTGCTTATATCATTTTTTTTCTCCCTTCAAATGGCAGGGTACACTGATCCTGCAAAACCTGATCTCCCTCGACTGCATGAGTGGCATTTTAGATCTGGTCTCGATCGCTATATATGGATAATTGGAATGATATATGCCTATTATCATCCCAATGTAAGTTGTTAAATTTTTTAGTCACGGAAAGTCTTGTTCCATTGGTGCACAAGTAACAATCTCTTTGAAATGTTTTAAATCTTAGGTTGAGAAATGGATGGAAAAGTTGGAGGAATATGAAACTAAGAGAAAATTCTCAATCAAAGCAAGCATTGTTGCAATTTCTTTATTTGTAAGTTGCCTGATCTTTTTATCGCTATATTACTATTATGCTTATTGGTTTTTGATGGATGGTTTTTGTATTTTCTTAAATTCTTCAGGTTGGGTATATGTGGTATGAATGTATTTACAAGCTGGACAAGGTTTCGTACAACAAATACCATCCCTACACATCATGGATTCCTATAACGTGCGTATTAAGGATTTCTTTTTCTAATTTACTTGAAAACTTGAGGAAGTTTATGTGAAGGCACATGGAATATCTTGTAAATTGAATCACTTTAGTTCAATTTCCAGGATCTGATTATCTTCTCTGCTTCTTTGTGATTCTAGTGTCTACATTTGCTTGCGGAATTGTACTCAGCAGCTTCGGAGTTACTCTTTGACTCTCTTTGCGTATGTTTCTGGACTATAACTAATTCATTCAATCTGAGCCCTACTTACAAGATAGTGGATTATTGATATGCATTTTCACAAGCTTCTGGCATTAATTTGCACTTTCTTTAATTATGCTACATTTTTGTGCTTCTTAGGTGGCTTGGCAAGATAACTCTGGAGACTTACATTTCTCAATTTCATATCTGGTTGAGGTTTGTCAAGCAATTAAAGTTTGTCTTTTTAATTTGTTCCTCAAACTGATATCTAAGAAATAGCCTGGTAGTGAAATAGGTTAACCTTGATATCTCGTTCTGCCTCTGGATCCTTTTTAAAGTATGGTAATTCTACAAAGCACTGAAGTAGTTTAAGAGTAACAAATTTACAGGTCTATAAGATTCTTATAATTACATTTCATACCTGCAGATCAGACATGCCTAACGGTCAACCGAAGTGGCTTCTTTCTTTTATCCCAGAATATCCACTGCTAAACTTCATGCTCACAACTGCCATTTATGTCTTGGCAAGCAAATTTTCTCCTCACTTCCATATTTTATCGACAGTTTTGATTATGTTCATTTGTTCAGTTTCCTGCCCTGTTGTCTTGCTTCCGCAGATGTCTCATCGCCTGTTTGAATTGACAAATACACTTAAGTCAGTTTTCATACCCACAAAAGACAACCGACGGTTGCTATATAATTTCATAGCTGGAGTAGCCATTTCACTGTGTTTGTACTTCACCTCACTCATTCTTCTTCAGATTCCTCGTTCAACCGTAAGCTCCTAATTCCAATGAAGCATTAACTAGTTATCTGAATTCTAAATGATGCGTGGACTCCTTTTTCTTGCATACCGTAGCCCCTTCCGAACTTAAGATTATCAGAATTTATTATGTTCTTAACCTGCATATATTGATTCCATGATTACAGGCCTGAGAAAGCATGATTCATGAGTTAGACAGAACTTTTACATTGGACATACGAAAAAATATATATTGTTGGAGCAAAATAAGATAAATTTGAAGCTGTCTACGAATCTAACTTCCGAATCAGATGTTTCCAACGATTGAGTAAAAATGCCCTTCCTTGATTTGAAACTAAAATTCTTGGCTTCACCTTGGGACATTGATAGGGGGCAGGCATACGGCAGGAAGGAAATCTTTCTTTCCTTTCTTTTTTTTTTTTTTTTTTTTTTTTCTTTTATATTTTGTTGTAATATTGGAAACTGCCATATATCGTTTCCTTTTTGTCAATTTTTTGGTCATTCATTGAAGAAAATGTAGATTCCTGTGACTTAGAATGTGTTGTCTTGGCACCAAACAAATTCGAGATCTAATACTAATGCAAAATATTTCTTATTGTGAACTTCCATCGTCTATAATATTGATCATTTGTAAACCTTTACACCGTACAATTATGTAATATTTTTTGAGAATGCCATTTAACATAATTAATAACCCAACCAAACTACAGAAAGGAGGATTGCGACGTCACAGAAAATTACTGATGATTTGTCGTGAATGACTGAAGCCGAAGCAGATGCCCTGGGTAGAATTTTCATGTCAGCAATAATAAGTTAATAATATCAAAGATGTGTTTAGTACATAAAATTATGATAAAATAAAATAATATAATATTATAAATAATAATAAATTAAATAATGTAATTTTATTTTATATTTAATGTGTGTAAGGATTGAAATAAAATTATTTATTTATTGATTAAAATTATTTTTTTAATTTATATAATTTAAATTATTATTATTATAATTTTTAAAGGTATAATAAAATATATAAGTTTAACTTCAAAGATTCAAATTAATTTTCTTCATTTTGGAAGGAATGAATCTTCTTAAAATGATGATAATACTCTTTATAATTATATCCTTTTTAATTAGATACAAAATAAATATAATATAAAATGATTTTCATGTTATCATATTTATCATCCTATTCATCAAATATGATCTAATGGTATTACTTACACTATATTTGGATTGATGGAGGGGAAGAAAATAAAGAAAAGTAATGAAAATGGAAAAATCTTTCATTTGTCTTGATAACCTTTTAATTTAAAGGAATAAAAATGTTATTATATTTATATTTTTATTATGATATTAGATTTGATTATATAATTAACACATTTTACAAAAATAAATTTTTTTTATAAGTATTTTATATAACATCACAGTTTATAAATATTTTATAATTTTTTAAAATCTTAATAATAAAATAAATCAAATTATTATTGGAATAAATTAAAAGGTTAAATTAAATACAAAATTAAAAGGAAATCAATAATTGGCTAATACATATTATTATATTAAACATGATCAATTTTATTTAGATATATTTATTTATACAAGTTAAGTAATATAAAAATATATTTATATATTATATGTTCCTTTATGAAAAAAAAGGTAATAAATAAAAAAATTATTATAATGAATTATATCATTTACTTTTCACGAATTTTTTTTTAATTTTAATTATTCAGATACATATTTCCTTTCTTATTTTTAAAACACTTTCTTTTTCTTTTCTTTATTAATGTCTGTCCAAATATAACGATAGGATTAATAAGCTGAAATAAAATTTTCTAGTAAGATTTAAATTTAAAACTTCTCCCAATTAATTTTCAAAAAAAAAGAAAAAGCCTTCTCCTATTAGTTTCAAACTCTAATCATTGAGGCATCCCCTGTAATTGAAAGAATGTTTGAATCCTCTTCCCTCAAATCATGATGATATGCATGTTTATTAGCTTAAGGGGTCTCATGGGGGCAAACCCAATGGGCATCTTACCGGGAACCAATTCCTCGAGCGTGTTGCCTTGAAGGAACTTATTTGTCTTTGACATGGGAGAAGCTGAGCTACTGCAGCACTCAATCACAGGTTTAGCCAGTGTTATAATAAGTATTTGGAAAAGATCAGTTAAAAGAATTAATAGAACGAATTTTTTTTTCCCTTTTGCATGAGTTATGATTTCTTATTTGTTTCTTTATTAGTTCTACATCTAAAATAGGCTACAGGAAGTGAAACTAGACTATAACTTTTGAGTGCCTCTATCTCAGTTAAGTACAGATAACTGAGAAATACAATATCTGTTCGAGTTACTGTTACTGTAAATACAGACCTAAAGATGTCCGAAGAACTTAATCAAAATGCAATAGCAAACTAGATCATTTGTTACATAAAATTTTTTGGCTTTAGATGACACAGTTCAGTACTTTTTCTGGAATTCACACTACTTATCTGCGAGTACTTATTGCTTTGTATTGTATTCTCTGAGATGCTATCTGTCACAGAGAATAAAAAAAGAAACTTTGATCAAATTGATTTTTTTTACTATGCTTCAAAATTCAATAGCCTGGCTCATCTGTCTACTTTCCAAAATAAAGATCTGATAGCCTAAAAGATAAAATGCATTCCAAATTTGAGAATTTACTAAGCAGCCACCTGCTCTTTTAGTTTCGTATTCAAAGAGAGAATCATATAAGATATCACAGACTCAAGTGTACAGAAAAAATCCAGTTCATCAGAAACACTAATTGATGCTCCCTAAGTTAAGCCTTTGTGTGTTTTTTTACAGTTCAGGAGACTGAAGAAGGCAAACTGAAGGAAAATATGAATGGTTCAAATCAATCAATAGGGCATAGACCCAAAAGCTATAAGAGGTGGCGACGGATAGTTTAGTATACAATCTTTGTGCTTTCTGGCCAGGGGGTTGCTACAATGTTGTGAAGACTATACTTTGACAAAGGTGGAAAGAGCTAATGCACGGCAACACTTAACGCAACTGGCTGGCTTCCAAATTGTCATCCTTTCCTATTGCTTCTCACCACTCAAAAATTCAACTGCAACGAGTACTACCACAAGACCACCATCCACCATGATTCTTGCATCAGTTTTATGTCTCCCTTGGCCTACTTGTAGCAGCATATTTCTTTCTGCACTCGACCGGATCGCGGTACCTTCCTGTGTCTACTTATTCCCTCATTTTGTGTATCCCAGTTCGGTTTCAATGCTTCTCCTATTTTCTCAATTCACAAAAGTTCACTCCTTTCATAGTCAATTCTCTGATCCTTCCCGCCATCTCTTCCATCCTTCTTGCGTCTCACGACGACTCTTCAATTCCCAGGGGAGTCTCGAGAGGAAAATATGTGATCGGATTCATATGAAGCATTGGTGCATCTGCTGGGAACGGATTGGTGCTCTCATTCGCACAGCTCTGCTTTCAGAAGGTTATAAGAAGGGATTCATTTTCAGCAGTCATGGATATGATAATCTATCAATCACCAGAAGCAGCAAGTGCAATCCTGGTGGGACTTTTTGCTAGTGGAGAATGGAAAGCTGTAAAAGGAGAAATGGAAGAATATGAACAAGGAAAGATCCCATATATCATGAATTTAGTATGGATATGTATATTCTGGCAGGGTTTTTCTATTGGAGTCACAGCATTGATATTTGAGGTGTCTTCTCTATTCTCGAATGACGTCAATATTCTCGCATTGCCTGTGGTTCCGATTTTAGCTGTTATCTTTTTTGGAGACAATGGATTGTATAAAGGTAGTTGCCATGGTTTTGGCTCTCTGGGGCTTTCTTTCATATGCCTACCAGCATTATCTTGATAACCATGAGTCAGAAAGTGAGCTCAAAAGCATAAATGTCAATAATGAAACTCTAAAAGCTCCCTCTGGTTGAAGAAATGAGCTTTATGGGGCATCGGAGATTTGTAGCAAAGAAAGCAATGGTGCCTGTAAGATAATAAGATGTAACAAAGAGAATAAAATGGTCAAAATCAAGGCACTAAATTGCATAATCTAGACTGATTACTTTGAAGCTGTTGTCATGAAGCTGTAAATATTGCAAATAATTTAGTAATTATTGAATTTGATTACAGATTAATTGACCTTGATAAAGCCATGCCTGGAGATACCATAATCTTTCAAAAATTGCATGTAATTGAAGCAAAAATTTTCATGTCTCTCTCAATCGCCCCCGACCCACCAAATTCAAACATGCACATGATTCATGCCCGTACAAATTTTATGAACTTATGGGAAAACCTCAAGAACTGCAATCCCGCATCATTGGTGAGTCAGCTAGCAACTCCACGTTATTGCCAAGAAATAATGCAAAAATATTGATTAAAACTTCATTTCATCGTCACTTTTATTACTTTTTAAAATTTTTAATTTTTCAAAATTTCCAAGCAATATCATATTTGTTTAGAGATAAACAAGTAACTAAAAAGGAAAACAATGTTAACTTGGACTTGTTCATAACAGAAATAAAACCATTTTCTTCCTCATTTATCCCTCAAAGTTAAATGTTTAATTTGCATATCTTACGTAATCGGATTCCTAAGCACTATTGGTGCATCTGCTGGGGATTGCTGGATGCGTTTTCTGACACAACTCTCCATTAAAAAGCTTCTAAAAGGAGAAACACATCAAATGTCTTCAAACACACACACACACACACACACATATATATATATATATATATATATATATATATATCAGTCACTGGTTGCCACTTCTGCCGCCATAGAGGGACTTTTCACCAGTGGAGAATGGAAAGCTTAGTCAATCGCAATGGAGGCGTTTGAAACGGGTAAATTTTCCAAAGCAACGACCCTGATTGAGACAGCTATAGCTTCACTGTTTTTTGTTGTCGGCCAATAGGATTGATTTTTTAAGTGTCTTCTCTCTTCTCCAATGCCTAAAGTGTCTTGGGTTTGGCTGTTATTCCAATTCTAGCTCTGATCATTTTCCCTTGAGAAAATGGATGCAATAAAGGCATCCATTCTGTAACAGGGTGTATAGAAGAAGAAAATAAATATCTAATTTTGTCTCACTAGGTCCATTCTGTAGCAGGTGTATAAAACAGAGAAAAAGAGACGCTATAAAGCAAATAGAGATTCCAAAATGGCAAGGAAGATTAGACAAATGAATCTAAGAATCAACCCATTACCGCTGTGTGAAATAGGGCAAAGATACATGCTTATATTCAACATAAGAACAGAAATGTCTGTGAACTCAAGCTAAACTCATCAACAAGGTTCATTGAAGCTCATAGTTCGCAAATCAAGTACAGGCCTTTAATCAGGCTTATTTAAAATCATTTAAACTGGAGCATACGTCCTGACTATAGGTATTGTCGCAAACTAGAGAGGGAGTGCTCAGAAATGAACTTGACTGAAGCTGCTCAAGCTTCAGTTATACACAATTATTAGCAGCTTCAGTTATACACAATTATTCCTTGCTAGTTTGCGACATATATTGATTATTCCCTTCATTGCTCAAAAGAAATAAAAAAAACAGTTAGATCATGCTAAGTTTGCATACTACACGGTTGTCCAAGATAAGCTCAACAACTTAAACAATTACACCTGCCCAGGCTGCTTGAATCCTTAAAATGATGTAAAGTTAGAGGGTTAAAGGAGTAGAAAAAGAAGAGTTGGAATTTTGAATTTAAGTATGTAGGAATTTGATCGTATTAAGTAATAAATTTTCCAAAATCACATAAATAAAAGTTGTTCTAGAAACTTATTCCTAAGAAGTTCTTTGCCAAACTTAAGGACTTAACATTCAGGCCGTGAAAAATGATATGCTGGCAGTTTCAATTAACATAGTCTGTGTTAAAGTGCAACCATAATGTAATGTTAGTATCAAAATTTTGAGATAACCAATATCACAATCAATCAGTTTTTATGTCTCATCGTCCACATTAAATCATGTTGCAGTAATCAAACCAACCCAACACAAACACTAAAATCCTAACGAAGAGAAAGAGAAAAAGAAACTTTAGAATGTCGAATACAGTATTAAGAAAAAAAAAATCTTAAAGGTTAATTGAGAGTACCCATCAGCAGCGGATTTAATTAACTACATCAGGCAACCAACATAATGAGCACGAGGGTACTTTCTCTGCAGTTGTGGCCATTGCACAAAGAACTGATCTGCAATCCATAACTTGTAAAGCAACAAACCACTTAACGAAAGCCTTTTTACTCTTGCAATGCTCTCAACATAAAAGATGGATGACCATCTAATTCCGACCACCTGCAAGCAAAACTTACAAGAAAAATGGCTAACTCCAATTTTCTTAGATGTAGAAATGTTTATGAATTTAAGTTTGTCTTTCTTTTTTTCTTTGGCTGGAAAGACCATATCAGTTTCATCAAGAGCGAAAGGCAATACAAAACAAAATTCATTAGAGGGAAATATGCAAACCTTGAAAAAGAATGCAATTACACATAGAGGAATACAAGTACCAGGGCCATTGCAAAGAACCTGCAATTAAGTTGAAGTTTAAAACAAGAAATTTGATTCAAGCACCTTTTTTAACTAAACAAAAAAATTGGAAGGGAAAAAAGTTAAACAGAACAAAAACAGCAAAATACCACTTGAGGTCTGATTTTAATCATCAGCCACAATGCATGAGCCATGGCAACTAGTGTTGTCCAAACAGAGGTTACATACGATTGACCAACTTCCCTGCTTCTATATATCTGCATGAACTCTGCAGAAACTCGCTTGACCCCACTCTGCAATTGAAATAAATTTAAGAAGGAACTGCCAAACTACAGAAGCCATGTCCTCCATCCACTGCCAAACTCATTTACGACTTCAAATTTACAAACTAATACTAATAAAAAGATAGCAAAATGGAACTACCAACGTAGGAAAGCAGCCAAGATAATTCAAAACATAGACATGACAGCCAAAAAACTTTCAATAATGCATCAGCAAAATATTAATGCCAGTAAAATATTATTAGATCTAGTTGTTTAGACAATGTAGAGTTAGTCTACATTACCCAATAAATCATACATAAGGGTCTGCAATTAGGCTCTCTGTTGATTTAGAGCATTGCTTATTGATGCAAATTCAATTGTAATACTAAAAAACATGCCAAAAAAAACAAAAGAGTTACTTTTTAAGTTAAAAAAAATGGAAAATTAACTTATTTCCCCACGAACAAAGGGGGAAAAAGGTACTAACAAGAATATCAAAACCATTAATAAATAATTCAGCGGATTTTCTTTAAATAATATATGTAAATAGTACTCGTATGAACAAAAATCACATTATAAAAATTGAAATCGAATGAAGAAAGAGGTAAAAGGCAATAAGCAAAATTTTAATAGCTATTGATAACGGAATGAAAATTTGAAGTTGCGAAATTTACCGAATCAGCCAACGAATTCTCCAAGACGCGAGCTTTCTGAAGACTCATATTATCAGTAGCCGCGGCGATATAAAACCTCGGCGCAAACCTGTCCTTTTGCAAAACTAACAAGAGATTAATCATCTCCGCCGTGTGTCCTCCTATACCGAGAAATCACAATCCAATGATCATAATTAAGCATCGTAAAATCAACGGCAAATAAGAAAACGGATAACCCAAATTTGAAAGCGCACCTGAACCTAAAACAATAAGAGTGCTAAGAGGCTGCCGTGAAGCTCTTTTGCTTAGCGGCTTGCCGGTTCGGTAAATCACGTAAAGTACTCGGAATAATACAGTAGTAATAAGGGCGATGAAGCAAGTGATTAGAAGATTTGAAGATAAATTGGAGACGCAAAAGCCATTATTTTTCTCCATTTTTGGATGTTCTTCAACGAAATTATGTGTGGAGGAACTCTGGTAAATAAGAAGAACGATCGAATAATTGATTTAAAAATTGGATCGTTGAACAAAGGAAATTTGAACTGAATGTTTCGAAATCCACGTATCAAGAAATCGGAATTTAAAAAGTGAAATTGAAAAATAGGATCGCGATTCGCGATGAAGAACGAGATTTTGACGGGACGACATAGACAGAAAAACAGGGCACTCGTAACGGAGTTACAATTTACAACGCTGTGAGCTCCTGAGTCCTGACGTTCCGCACAAATCCGCTGCGTTTTGCTGTTTATTTGAACAGCGGCACGCTGTTTCCCAAATTGGTTTTCGGGTTAAAACCCGAAAGGCGGCAATACTTTTCCAGCCAATTTTGACCTTGAATTTTGGGCTGTGAGTACCTATCGGACTTCATCCAATTATATTAAAATAAAATTGATGGAAAAAAAAAAAAACATACAAATGAAAATTGCATAAAAAAACTAGAATAGAAACAAGATTTCTTAATTAATAGGCAAGATTAAATTTTTTTTTAAGCTTTCGAGTCTTACCATTCACCATGTGACAACAGATGGGACAATAGGTAAGATTAATGTGTTTCTTAAGGTTAAATATCGCCATGACTTTTGTCTTCGCGCAACATTATTATACACATTGCATTTCTTTTAGATAAAGGAACCATATAAAACTTTTAGTAACAATAACATAGCCATAATTGTTTGTTGTTTGTGCTTGATTCAAGTGATAGTTTGCTTAGGAATCTTAAGTTTCTTAAATAACCAATGTTGAATACATATTGTCCCTATAATCCGCATGTACTTTTCAAACAGCAGGGGCAATTATATGCAAAACTCTTTATACCTTAGTTATATGTAAACGATCGGTTGTAACATTTTGTCTCATTCTTGAATGCTACAAATTTTAGATGGCTGAGAAGAGTATTCGGGAATTTAACCCCTTTCTTACCAAATTTTACAGTTAAATTATTCGTTTGTCCTTGTGTGCTTCACCTCTTTTATCGTTTTGTTTTTGAAACAAACGAAGATGAATAGTTAAAGATTTGTCAGAGAAGAAGGTAGGCAGAAATTTTGCAGTTTGAGCACAAAGAAATCACATTATGTTCTCATTGATTTGCAACAAATTTACGCCAAACCAACAAAGAAAACATAAAAAGACAAATCGCTCTCACTCTCCAAGCTCACTTTCCGGGGACGAAGTTGGTGGCATAGGCCCAGGCATTGTTGTTGACTGGGTCAGCAAGGTGGTCAGCCAAGTTCTCCAATGGTCCCTTCCCGGTCACGATGGCCTGGACGAAGAATCCAAACATGGAGAACATAGCCAATCTTCCGTTCTTGATCTCCTTGACCTTAAGCTCAGCGAATGCCTCTGGGTCATCAGCAAGACCCAATGGGTCAAAGCTACCACCTGGGTACAATGGGTCAGTCACCTCACCCAGTGGCCCACCAGCAATACGGTAACCCTCAACTGCTCCCATCAAGATAACTTGGCAAGCCCAGATGGCCAAGATGCTCTGAGCGTGGATCAAGCTTGGGTTGCCCAAGTAGTCTAGTCCACCCTCGCTGAAGATCTGAGCTCCGGCCTTGAACCACACGGCCTCACCAAACTTGACTCCGTTCCTCGCCAGAAGCTCAGGGAAAACACATCCGAGAGCTCCCAACATGGCCCATCTGCAGTGGATGACTTCGAGCTCACGGTTCCTGGCAAAGGTCTCTGGGTCAGCAGAGAGTCCAGCCGTGTCCCAACCGTAGTCACCAGGGAACTCTCCGGTCAAGTAAGATGGAGGCTCGCCAGAGAGTGGGCCCAAGTACAAAACTCTGTCTGGACCGTACCATGGGCTTCCAGAGGCTGCAGGCTTGGTGGCGGGTTTCCTCATGGTAACACGGGCATTGACCTTGATTACAGGGGTGGCAGGAGACAACTTGACAGCCTTTCCGGCGAATGATGGAGAAGAGAGAGCCATGGTTGAGGCGGCCATTGTTAAGTGCGTTTTGATTGATGTGATTTTTGTGGTTTAAGTTTGAGAGTGATGGAAACAGGGCAATACGGTAGGTTTATATAGGGAATTGAGAGTGAGGTTCCTTATCTACGTAGTATCTATATCTCTCCTTTCATTGGAGGCTCAAGATTTTTGATATTATTCTTAAATGTCCACTTGGCACTCTTTCAATCCACAAAGTTCTTAGATTCACTTAACAGGCTGTAGCCAATGGCATCGTTCCACGTCTAGATTTTCAAGGATGACGGCCAGCAGGCAGAGAGAAATTGGACTGTTGGAGATTATTTGAACGTTTTTGTTTGTTTTATAGCAATGGTTAATAAGCTATGAAAATCTATCTTTTATCGCATTGGCCTTTTACTTCCACTAAATGAATGGACTGTTGGACATTTTGACACTTCATATAGCTAATAACCATAAATATTAATAAATTAACAGCTTACACGATTTCCATTTTCATGGAAAATAGATGAGTTTTCAAAGAAAGGGAAACTTCATGAGCAATATGCAAAAGATTTTTTGTGAAGTTATGATGTTGAAATCATGGCACCGTAATAGAAATTACAAAATTCCGGTGGTTGATAATACACAGCGGGAAAATATCTGCAGAAAAAAAAAATCTTGCTTTGCAGCAAAATGAACTTGAAGTAGAGAAAAATCCTCCGACTTTTATGTAATTGACTTCTTATAGTCTTTTTGTGTGAATCAAAATCGTTTACGTCACTGTTGAAGTGACCATAAACAGAGAGGTCAGACATGTGTATGCCAAATGGTTCTTTTTAGATGCCAACAGCTGTGTTCTCTTGATAGAGATTTGGGTTTCTAATTTAAGTAATAAGATGCAGTCTCTAATAATTTCAAATAAAAAAAAAAAAAAACTCTTTATATTCACCTAAAAATTTGAAAAACTTTAATATAATTATGGCGTTGTGAGGAATGAACAGAAACAATTTATGGTTGAAAAGCCCATGGTTTGATAAGAAGCCATTTAGAAAGCTTTCAAACCTCAGTTTTGATTGAAATTTTGCAGCTTTTTTGAAATCGTGTCGTGTTTATAATTCAGGTCTCATCTCTTATTATAATTTTCTTATGTCCAAGACTCATCGAGTACTCCTGCATTTTATGGTTCTAAGCAGACTGTTAAACACATTTAGTGAAGCCAAGAGTACCCTAATAAAGAGATTAGAGTATGAAAGACGACAAAGATATTATAACTCATCAGATTTCATTAAGAAATCAAGATGAAAATACATTGGAGCAACAGCATTCCTGAGCCATGCAATGAAATGCAAATGGTCCTGCATCTGATAAGTAAACGTGAAAAAAAAGTTGTGATTGCTCAAAGCAGATATGGGGCTATCCGATATTACAAGTGGCAAAATCTCATTGGATCAACAGAGAACACTTTAAAATTGCTGGAAATTTTTTATGCATCTGGTTCAACGAAATTATCCAACGCTGATAAGTGGCTCTGAGGATGCCAAGTAGACATTCGAAATCGAACTTCCAAATTGTTATTAACCAATAGGAATTCAGATATAGATATCATAAGATAAGGACCCTTACCCTTAGAAAATATTAATACCCCACCCGACCAAGCCCAACTGCCACACAACCTATCAACCTTTCTTCCCAAGAAGCTCCTTTCACGGCTTGTCACATTCAAATATACAATGGCAGCTGCAACCATGGCCCTCTCTTCCCCATCCTTCGCCGGAAAGGCTGTCAAGTTGTCTCCTGCCACCCCTGCCACCCCTGCAATCCGGGGCAATGGCCGTGTTTACATGAGGAAAACGGGCACCAAACCTGCTGCCTCTGGAAGCCCATGGTACGGTCCGGACAGAGTTTTGTACTTGGGCCCACTCTCTGGCGAGCCTCCATCTTACTTGACCGGAGAGTTTCCTGGTGACTACGGTTGGGACACGGCTGGACTCTCTGCTGACCCAGAGACCTTTGCCAGGAACCGTGAGCTCGAAGTCATCCACTGCAGATGGGCCATGTTGGGAGCTCTCGGATGTGTTTTCCCTGAGCTTCTGGCAAGGAACGGAGTCAAGTTTGGTGAGGCCGTATGGTTCAAGGCCGGAGCTCAGATCTTTAGCGAGGGTGGACTAGACTACTTGGGCAACCCAAGCTTGATCCACGCTCAGAGCATCTTGGCCATCTGGGCTTGCCAAGTTATCTTGATGGGAGCAGTTGAGGGTTACCGTATTGCTGGTGGGCCACTGGGTGAGGTGACTGACCCATTGTACCCAGGTGGTAGCTTTGACCCATTGGGTCTTGCTGATGACCCAGAGGCATTCGCTGAGCTTAAGGTCAAGGAGATCAAGAACGGAAGATTGGCTATGTTCTCCATGTTTGGATTCTTCGTCCAGGCCATCGTGACCGGGAAGGGACCATTGGAGAACTTGGCTGACCACCTTGCTGACCCAGTCAACAACAATGCCTGGGCCTATGCCACCAACTTCGTCCCCGGAAAGTGAGCTTAGAGAGTGAGAGCGATTTGTCTTTTTATGTTTTCTTTGTTGGTTTGGCGTAAATTTGTTGTAAATCCAGGAGAGCATGAGAATTTTGTGTCCTCAAAATGCAAATTAATATGCGCTTCCTAGTAAATGTTCTGCCATTTATGAATCAAGTCTCTGCAAATTGCCAATTATAAACTCACTATATATGTATGTATGTATGTATGTATGTATCTATGTGTATATATATATATATATAAACTCACTATATATGTATGAATGTATGTGTGTGTATATATATATTCACCGTGAGAAATTGAAAATAAGTGAGAGAAGGAAGAGAAGTACAGGCTGTTCTGTATAGTTCAGATTTTTTTGATTGCAAATTTCCAGAGATCATTATCAATTTATACATGCAGAATTTAGTGCTATTTTAAAACTCCAGTAATTATTTATTACTATATTAATTACAAATTTTAGGAGGGGGCTAAAGCATCCTTAATTTCCCCCTCCTTTTGGTTGAAAATGCATATACAAATGAGGATTTTCAAAAGCTAAGGGGGCCAACTGGCCTTTATAACTAAAAGAAGGCAAAATATACGTTAGTGTTTGGATTAGCCATAGAACAGCATCGAAGGAGGAAATATAAGAAGGAAAGATAGCAATCACGCAGGCTGGTGAGGAAATTAAGGGTAATTGCGAAGAAGTAACGCAATTAATCAATCATGCATGGATGTTCAAGGTAAGGATAAAATAAAAGTCAAATGATATACAGCCTAAATTAATGCAAATTAACAATAAAGTCTTGGCAAAGAGAAGCGGAGAGAGGACAGTCTTGCTTTTATTGCAGCCATTGGAGAAGGCAGTTTTGATGGTAGGTGTGCAAGCAGGATGGAATGGTTTTTTTGAAACCATGGGGAGACCCTCCAAGCAAATAGCACATACTTCATCCTCATTGAGTCTCTGATTCAACTTCTGAGAATTGATATCATGGTGCATTCTAAGTCAGTTATATGTTAATAGTACTGAAAATCGATACTATAACTCAGAAAAATTCAGGCTTACCCTGGAATAACTGATTGAATGAGGGGAAAATGGATGAAAAAGAGGGAAGACTTCAAAAGAAATCAAGAAAAAAGACACCAAAGTACATAGAAGGAAATATCAGCTCTCTCTAATTTTTTGCATTGCACATTATAGTAAATTTCAGAACAAGTCAACCTGTAAGCCTGTTTCTGGGAATGGAGTATGATGATGCTATATTAATAATCTGGCTGCAAATTTTGATCTGGGAACTTGAAGGAAGAGAACATATTCCTTTGTAATATGTTCTTCTGTTTCCTTAATATGAAAACATTTTAAGGCTATCCTGAATGTGAAGGGTGCAGCAACATATGAATGGAAATTTTAATTAAGTCTACGTATGAATAGACATTAGTAAAGAATAAAATGGAAAGCAAAGGAAGAGAAAGTTTTTTAAAAGAAAGAAAACGATACATATATCTCTTATTTAAATAGAAATGAATCCCGATAATCATTGTTTTATTGAAGATAAAAAAAAAAAAGATTCGTTATAATATTCTTTTTTTAACTATAATATTCTTTTGTAAAATAACATATAATGTCAAACTAAACATTTAAAAAATGTCAAACCATACAAAATGATTTTTTTATTATTTTGGAGGGCATGGGAAGTCTAAGTTTAGTAACAGAGTAAATATTTATATCCGTTAATAGCATATCTTTAATCATCATCCTAAAAAACAATTAGAATTTTGTGTAAATATTGGACTCTTAAATATTCTTATTATCCTATAAACTTAATAGAAATGGGAAAGTATTGACAAAAAAAAAGAAGTTGATGAATAGCTATTAAAAGATTTGGCCATAGGTAGATTTGAAAACTAATAAAGGTTTTATTTGGAATTTAAAGAAAATAATAAAGATATGGTAATCATTTCATATTTTTAATTTTTTTTAGCCTTTTTCTTAATTTGAGGTAATTAAAAAATGAAAGAAAGTGGGAGAATCTGAAAGGGCTCATCATCCTTTATTTTATTTTTTTTAATTATTTGATATCCAAGGAAAGGTTTCTCATTTCCTTTCCTTTCTCTCATTTTACTCGAATCCAAACATAGCTTAAATTACCAATGTAAGTGATGCACAAGGCTGAGCTCAAATGTTTACTTAGCAAAAAATGTTTTCTCTTAAGCAGTAATAGTGATAGGATGATAAAAAGATTTCATCTCTTATCGAGCATATTATTACTGAAAATTATACTACTAAGATTAATCATCTAACTCAAGGTTTTGTTGGTAGTTTAAAATGTGGTGTATCTCACATTGAGTAAAAAGATCACTTATAAATGGTTTAAAAGAAATTACTTATATTATTTAAGTAATTGAGCTAAGTGTTTGAGTGAATCAAATCATTTGGGCTTGCTAGGAGTTATCCTAGTGGGTTAGATAATTTTAAAAGTCAAAGATGGGCACTTAGGCTGAGGCACTTGGGCTTGTTTGACAAATAAATTTAATTTTTAAATCTTTATTATTATTATTATTATTATTTTATTTATTTCAAAATATTATTGATTCCGAATAAATATGTTTGAACAGTAAAAGACATGATTGTTTAAATAAAGTTTATTTAAACAATAAAATATGACTATATAAAATGTCATAACTTTTTAAATTGGTTTGATTAATTACTGTTCATTTATTATAAATAGATCTTTTTGCCTGACCAATTTCATTACTTCTGATTTAGAGAGTTTTAAGGCTTTGTTGTATCCTATAGGCATAATTACCTTTAAGACAGTGTTATTCACACCTCAAAGCCATATTTTCTTCTTTTTTACTATTTTTGTTTTTCTTAAATCTACTAACAATTTAAAGGCAATTATGGATACTACATCTATTATTGTCCCTACTACTGCTATGGATTTGAAATCAAGCATGAAGGTTTATTTTCAAAATTAAGATGTAATCAAACTTGATCGTTTTAATGGATCAAACTACACTAGGTGAAAGGACAAAATGGTTTTTCTATTGACAACATTGAAAATGTTTTATGTACTTGATCCAAATTTGGAATCAATTCCAAAACCAACTCCTGAAGATTCTGATACTATTAAGGTAACAAGAAGCAAACGTGAAAAAGATAAACTAGTCTGTCGAGGTTATATTCTGAATTCATTATCTGACCGTCTATATGACCTATACAGAAATATGAAAACACCAAAAGAGATATGGATTGCTCTTGAGCACAAATACATGAACGAAAAAAAAGGTACGGATAAGTTTTTGGCTTTGAAATACTTTGAATTTTCAATAACTGATGATAAATCGATCATGGGCCAAGTGCACGAGTTGTAAATTCTGGTCTCTAAGTTAAGTGAGCTTAAAATTAAGGTTCTTGATTCACTTCAAGTTGAAGCTATTTTGTCAAAACTTCTTCCTTCATGGAATGGATATAGGAAGAAAGTTCTGTATTCAACAGATACTTCACTATTGAAGAATTTCAAACTCACATACAGATTGAAGCAGAAAATCGTGCAAGAGATGCACTCTTCCTTGGAGGTTCCAATGTGATTACATGAGTGGATAAAATTTTGGAAAAACTTACAAGTCTTTTGGTAAATTTTAAAACAATTTTAAAGTCAAGAAGAATGGATTTAAAAAGTCCAAATTTAACAAGAACAAAATGTGTTTTCATTGTGAAAAGAAAAGACTTTTGATTAAAGATTACAGATTTAAAAAAGCTGGAATTAAGATTGGTTCTAGTTCTTAAAGCAAGGTAAATCTGGTTAAGCAAGAAATTAATGAACTTGTTGCAATGGTGACTGACATGCAAATTGGAATGTTCACCGAAGTTCATATGGCTACTGCAAATAAGTCATATGATTGGTGGCTAGATTCTGGGGCAACAATTCATGTTTGCAACAACAAAAAATAGTTCAAGACTTATGAAGAATGCAAGAAACCAAAAAACATCCCTATGAGAAATCATGTTCCTGCCAAAGTGATTGGAAAAGGAACGGTTGAATTGAAATTCACCTCAGGATAGAAACTAACTCTAATTAATGTCTTTTATGTTATTGATATTAGAAAGAACGTTGTATCTGTAAATTTATTATGTAAAAAAGGCTTTAAGATTGTACTAGAGTCTGATAAAGTTATAGTCTCCAAAAATGGGGTATTCATTAGAAAAGGATATTCCAATTATGGTATGTTTAAACTAAGCATTAATGAAATAAATAATGTTTCTGCTTATATTGTTGAGCATTCTTCTTCTTTATGGCATGCTAGATTAGGACATTTAAATTATCATTACATGAATTATATGACTAAGCATGGTTATATAACATACCAGAAAAATCATGACATTAAATGTGAAATCTGTGTCAAAGCAAAAATGACTAAGAAACCTTTTCCTAAAGCTGAAAGAAATACAGAATTATTAGAACTTATACATTCTGATATTTGTGAGCTAAATGATTTATTAACAAGGGAAGGAAAAAGGTATTTTATAACATTTATAGATGATAGTTCTCGTTATACTTTTGTGTATCTAATGAAAATAAAAGATGAAGCCTTTGATAAATTCAAAGAATATAAATCAGTTGTTGAAAATCAAAAGGAGAATAAAATCAAAATTTTTCGAACAGATAGAGGTGGCAAATATTTTTCAGATTCATTTTCTCTTTTTTATGAAGATAATGGAATTATTCATCAAAGGACAGCCCCTTATGCACCCCAACAAAATGGTTTAACTAAAAGAAAAAATAGAACCTTGGTTGATATGGTGAATAGTATGTTGTTAAATGCTAAATTACCTTTGAATCTTTAGGGAGAGGCGTTTTTAATAGCATGCCACATATATAACAGAATTCTTTCAAAGAAATTCTTAAAGACACCATATGAACTTTAAAATCATGACAGAAAACCAAATTTAGATTATTTTAAAGTGTGGGGGTGCATTGCCTTTTATAAAATACCTCATCCTCATAAATCAAAATTAGGACCTAGAGGTATTAAAAGTATTTTTGTTGGTTATGCACAGAATTCAAAAGCATATAGACTTCTTGATTTAAATACTAATGTTATTGTTGAATCTATTTATGTAAAATTTTTGAAAATAAGTTTATATGTGATACCAAAATTGATATGGAGAAACAAATTGAAATGATTCCTACGAATGGAAATAAAAGAAAATAAAGTAATGATTCTGTTGAAATTAGAATGAGCAAAAGAGTTAGAAAAGATAATCTTTTACTTTCTGATTTTGTTTCTCCAGATTCTATAGTATTCATAGTATAAGGGAATAGAACCAAAGTGCTTAAGAAAACCCCAATTCTACTAAATGTAGATGAGGACCCTAAAACATTTAATTAAGCTATAACTTCAAGAGATATTACTTTTTGGAAAGAAGCTATTAATGATGAAATGGACTCAATCATGTCCAATAATACATGGGTCTTGGTAGATTTACCTCCAGGTTCTAAACCTATAAGATGTAAATGGGTGTTTAGAAAGAAAAATAATACAGATGGTTCTATACAAACCTTTAAAGCAAAATTAGTTGCAAAAGGTTTTAAACAAAAGGAAGGCATAGATTATTTTGATACATATACTCCAGTAGTTAGAATAACATCCATTAGAGTTTTTATAGCTTTGGCTTCTATTCATAATTTGCATGTGCATCAAATGGATGTTAAAATAGCCTTTTTAAATGGTGACTTAAAGGAAAAAATATACATAGAACAACCAGAAGGTTTTATTCTTTCAGGTAATGAGAATAAAGTTTGTAAATTAATTAAGTCACTTTATAGGCTAAAGCAAGCTCCTAAACAATGGCATGAAAAGTTTGATTCAATCATAATAGCAAATGGTTTTAAACATAATGGAGCAGATAAATGCATTTACTCAAAATTTATTAAAGAATATAGAGTTATAATATGTTTCTATGTGGATGATATGCTAATTTTTTATACTAATATGATTGGCATGAATGAAACCAAAAGGTATTTGATTTCTAATTTCAAAATGAAATATTTAAATGAATTTGATACCATTTTGAGAATTAAAGTTAAGAGATATAATAAGGGTTTCATTCTTAATCAAAGTTATTATATTGAGAAACTGCTTAATAAGTTTAAGTATCTCAATATAAAAGAAACCAATACTCTATATATACAAGTATAAAATTAACAGAAAATCAAGATAATGTAATCGCACAACTTGAATATGCTAGTGCTATTAGAAGTATTATGTATGCTATGCATTGTACTAGGCCAGATATAGCTTTTGCTATTTGCAAGTTATCGAGATATACAAGTAAGCCTAGTATAAGTCATTGGAAAGCCATAGGAAGAGTTTTAGGTTATCTTAAAAGAACTAAATATTTTAGCTTATTTTATTCCGGATATCCGACTGTTTTAGAAGGATATTTAGATGCAAGTTGGATCACTAGTATAAGTGACAATAAATCCATTTCAAGATAGATGTTTACCTTTGGAGGTGGTGCAATTAGTTAGGCATCCAAGAAACAAACTTGCATTTCACATTCAACTATGGAATATGAATTTATAGCTTTAGCTACAGTAGGCAAAGAAGCTGAATGGCTAAGAAATTTATTAATGGATATAGAGTTGTGGCCACAACCAATGACAACCATTTCCTTATACTGTCATAGTGAAGCTAGTATGTCTAGAGCTTATAGTGAAATTTATAATGGAAAATCTAGACATATTAGTCTAAGACATGATTATATCAGAGAATTGATAAAAAAAATGGGGTAATTATCATCATATATGTTAAATCTGTTAAAAACTTAGCAGATCCTTTTACCAAGGTGCTATCTAAAAATTTGGTAAGAAGCACCACAAGTGGAATGGGTTTAAAATTCCTTTTAGACACCAATAATGAGAACCTAACTTTGAATTAGTAACTTCTAATTGCAAAGTTTAATAAGTAATAATAAATTATTGTTATGTGTCTGTAAACACTAGTCAACCCATTCTATATATTTGGAATGCTAATGTAAGCCATTGCGTAAATGGAAGATGAGATTGAACTCTTAATGGAGTTAATAATTAAATGTCTATAACAAAGGGGACATATATAAGAAACTCCACCTATATAAACATAGAAGTGGTGCCGCTTCAATAAGAAAATTAGAAATTTTCTTGTAAACATTTATGAATAAGGATAAGCACATGGCCATAAATAATGCTAAAGCGATTATAAACCTCTGACAGAATATTAAATAAATATTATGTGTGTTATATCTTCAATTTTAACATTAGGAGTTGAAGTTTAATCTACAGACACCATCAACTTTGTTAGAATTCTAAGTTATATACGCTAATTGAAGGTTTAAATCGAAAGATACCTTCTTGTATTCATAATATTTATTTGTGTGAAAGGTTAAAGATTAAGCACCAACATTCCAAACTAGTGGGGGATTGTTGGTAGTTTAGAATGTGGTGTATCTCACATTGAGTAAAAAGATCATTTATAAATTGTTTAAAAGAAATTACTTATATTATTTAAGTAATTGAGCTAAGTGTTGGAGTGGGCTAAGTCATTTGGGCTTGCTAGGAGTTTTCCTAGTGGGTTGGATAATTTTAAAAGTCAAAGATGGGCACTTGGGCTTGTTTGGCAAATAGATTTAATTTTTAAATCTTTATTATTATTATTTTTATTTATTTCAGAATATTATTGATTCTGAATAAATATGCTTGAATAGTAAAAGACACGATTGTTTAAATAAAGTTTATTTAAACAATAAAATATAACTATATAAAATGTCATGACTTTTTGAATTGGTTTGATTAATGACTGTTCATTTATTATAAATAGATCTTTCTGCTTGACCAATTTCACTACTTCTGATTTAGAGTTTTAAGGCTTTGTTGTATCCTATAGGCATAATTCCTTTAAAACAGTGTTATTCACGTCTCAAAGCCATATTTTCTTCTTTCTTACTATTTTGTTTTTCTTAAATCTACTAACAGGCTTCACAGTATAGTTGCAAAATATTAACAAACTTTTGACAGTTTGATACATTAGTACATAAGAAAAATAAAACATCTACAAGGGCTTACTCTACTAGTAGGTCTGTCATTGATAACCAAGTAAGAGATTAAAAACACATTCCATAATTCAATCAATCTATTTCTTATCCAAACCCATTTTATTTTAAAAAATCTCATTGGACTCTATCATAGGCGTTATTTATATCAATCTTAAATCACCTCATACCACTTTTCCTTTTGCTTCAACTTCAAATAGTGAAAAACCTCACTAAAACCCAAAATATTTTCTTGAATTTGACTATCCAACAAAAACAACTTGGTTTTCAGTCATTAACCCTCCATAAAATGGTTCAACCTATTAACCAAAACTTTGAATATGACCAACGCTTGTTAGTCCGAATGTTAAGAAGTTCGATTTTTCTTAAGTAAAATTTTGATTTTAAATCTTGTGAATAGAGAAAACAGACGTTGGAATAGTTTATCTCCCTTATGAAATTAGATCTAGTTCAATTTCGAAATAATCGAGATCCAAAATGATTACTAAACATCAAGAGGTCTTAAACAAAAAAAAACTTTAAATATAATTTTATACACAAAATTACTCAAACTGGTTGGCCTAAACTGCTAATATTTTACTCATTTATTCTAATGTAGTTTTTAAAAATTCTCCGATGTTTCTTAGAGCATTGTTTGGTTCTTTTGACTTGAATATTATTATTTTTTTTTATCAAAATGCAAACATTATTTGATGAACTTTGGAAAGAAAAGGATCTTGATGGATATGCCTATTATTATGCAAAGTCCTATAAGTCAATTAAAGCCACCAAACATGAATATTGTTGTCCACTATGGCCATAAGGTATCTTCTCGTGAGTTACTCATTCTTTTCAGAAGTGGCTTTTAAAATATCAACATTTTTTTTCAAAATGAAACACATTTTTGGCACAATTAAACTATTAATTTAAATAACATCAACATTTTTTCATATATGTTTGTAAACATCAGCCTACATGATCTTGGTTCTTTTAGCACCAAATCATATTGTTACATTTTTTTTTCTTCTAAGGTAATCATGTACACAACGTATATTATGGCGCTTACATCATATTTATTAAATTCTGATCCAATAATAGTTTTTTGGACAAGTATATGAATTTTTAGGTTTAATATGTACTTTTAAAAGATATGTTTAAATGTTGAATAATGGAATTATTTGAAGAGTCATTAAATTATTATTAATGAATAATCATACGATGAAATATTAGATAAAATAATATTATTTTTATATAAAAATAAAAAATAAAATATAAATATTTAAATTTAAATTTAAATGTAAATTAAAAAAAGCTCTTTAATATTTGATTAGATGAATAATAACAATAATTGAAAAAGATGGGAAATCAAAAGGCATATGAAAGGAAGAGAAGAAGCGTCGATTAAACGATACGCAAAAATCGTCAAACCTCGTGAGCCCCACTCCTTCCTTCCGGTCACGCGTGCGTCGAACGGTCACATTCCTTTCCGCAAAACACGGAAATGGCCCTAATCCGACGGCTCAAATCTACCGGGTTTGACTCCAAACTGCACACATCTCAATAAAAAACCCCTACAAAAACATAAAAATTAATTGTCACACCAAACATTTCACCCAACTTCACTCGCTTATTTCAACACTTTGTAACTTCCTTCAGCGCAAATCTAGGGGTTTTTTCATCAGACCAGTTTTCCCAAATTTTCAGTTCGATTATTTCATTTTTTTTCTTCAAGCTTTTATTTTGTAAGGATTATCATTTGAATCTTATTTTCCTTTTTTTTTTTGCTAGTTTATTTATGTTTTTTCCCTAAAAAATGAGATAATATTTTGATTTAATTATATATTTTTCTGGTGGTATGTTTGATAGTATCTGTGTTTTTTTCTCCATTTTCTCTGCAATTTATTTTCTAGTTCTATTGAGAAATTTGTGATTTTTTTTTTCAAATAAAGTGATTTTCTTTTGATGGAAAGTGAGGCTTTTCTTTTTCTTTTTTCGTTTCTGATTTTTAGTTCTTTGAGCTTGAATTATTATTGATCCTTTTATTTAGTTCGTTTATTTTTGTATTGAAGATCCCTTGGTTCCGTAATATAAGTATTTCTGTTTGATTTAACTGCTATTTCCATTTTTTAATTAGTGTTAATTCTTTTTCTTTCTCTTTTATTTTTTACAGGCAAGAAGTTTGGAATTATTTTTCTATAGTTACTTTGGGATTGAGTCAAAGATAAACAAAATGCCGAGGTCTTTCGTGAATTGTGTGCGCTTGGTGGTTTTCTTTCTTGTTATACTGTAATTTTTCTTTGTTTTTGGTAAGTTTTATAAATCTGAACTCTAAAACTTTTATGAATTTTAACTCCATTTTTTCTCATTCAGATGATGATCATCTGCTTGCCTTATAATTTTGCAGAAAATAAAAAGAAATTTAAATTTTGATGTGCATGTCTCTGTTGATTATTTTATTAAAAGGAATTATTCTACTGCTGTAGGTGAATTTCAATTGAATTTGGAAGGAGATTCATTTCATTCAACATATTGTTCGCCGATTGAAACTTTTTGGTTGGAGGTGTGAGAATGTACATTGCAGTAACCATAAAGAGATATCGAGCGGTTAAGGAAGTTGGGAAGATTAAAATGAGTGTTGGTGTTATTGCATACTATCAATTAGTTCAAGTTTGTCAGGTAAATTTTATTTTTTACCTGTTTCGGATTGCGTATATTGCTGTTCCATCATGTTATATATGGTTGTGACCTCGGAAATGCATAAAAAATTGTCTCAAATAAATCTATGTGCCATATCAGTAATGGTTTTGTTGCTAATTTTGTGGTAGCATGATTGTATTAGGTTGAATATGCCTTTCGATTTTTAGTTTGTCAAGTGACTGATTAGAAAAAGTTTGTCTCGTTAATGCACGCAGGACATATCAAATGCACTAAAACATGCACAAAGACTAAGCACATGTGTGTATTTATGGTTGCTATGGTTGAAAAGTAAAAAAGTTATATGTAAATTTTTGAGAAATGCAAGACACTTATGATTAATCTTTTTCATTTCTCTTTGCTGTTGTGGATTTTCTGTTAGTTGTGACCACAACAAATCTGGACATGTAGAAAACTGATAAACTTCTGACCATTTTAATGGGCTTCCCTATGAAATAAAATTGTAAAAGTTACTCCAAAACATCAATCATGACTGAAGTTTCTGTTCATATGATTGAGCAATACCATGTAGAACAATGGAGAAAGTATCTTTTTGTTTGTGGCTGCACATATTACTCTCTGCATTTTTTATGGTTATAATGACTTCCTATATGCTATTGCAGGCTGAGTATTTCCGTCAATTGCTTAAACCTGTTACGTAGTCTAGTATTACAAAACTCTTGGAGACCGGGACTAGGGAGAGTCTGCCATTTGGTTGTGTTATTCTTAAGGCTGTGATAGAATGAAACATCTGATTGTTTTGACAGTAAATTTGGGATAGGCAACTCTGTCATGTTGTGATGGCGACCCAGTAGTTTAGTCTATAGTCTTACCATAATTATATTTATAAACCTTCTTCCAACTTAACGTTGAATAATTGCAAGTTCAAAGCCAAGAAGCAATCTTTTGTTGTGAACTTCTTGATTAAGTAGAAAATTCGATGCAGAGTAGCCAACAGTTTTACCCCCAAAAAGCATTGCCCACACTTGCAGATCAAGTGGGCGATAATTACATGCATATTCCAGTTGCATCTGCTTTTGGTACAGGTTTTCCTCCATGTGCTAAGCCATTTGCACCCCTCCATGGCATTGAGTTTCAATCCTCGGAGGTTTGTCCCAAGAATTTCATTATTTTCAATCAGACTGATCATAGAAATCAGATCATGTTCAATCCTGCTGTTAATGGTCATGGATTAAATGTTTTTGCAACTTACATTGATGGAAAGTATGAAAGAAAAGATGTTAATGATGTGGAAAACGAAACCTCATCTTCTCTGAAAGAGGATTCAGATGATATTGATGCACTTCTTAGCTCAGAAGAGGAACAAGAAGGTTATGATGAGGAAGAAGTTAGCATAACACAGACTTATGGAAATTATGAAAGCAACTCTGGTTCTCACTCTGCTTATGGTTCAAAACCAAGAAAGAACAGCTCATGCTCTTCTACTCTGAAGTCCTCTGGTAGTGGTGGCAGTTGTGACCCTGAAATTAAGCGACTGAAAATGAGGAAAATGGTGAAGGCTTTAAGAGGAATTGTTCCAGGTGCTGATCAGATGGGTACCGTAGATGTTCTTGATGAAGCTGTTAGGTACCTCAAGTCTCTCAAGGTTGAAGTAAAGAAGCTTGGAGTTGGGAATTTCAAGAACGGAGATTGAACTCATATTGTGGTAACCGTTTTTGCTCATCTTCTAGAAGTTTAGTTCATTCTGGGTTGCATACCCCTCCTTCACCTGTCTCTCTCTGATGGCTTGCAGTCTAGAGATAAAGAAGACAGGTATATTTTAGAATTAATATTGTGTTGTAATTTCCAGTTATGTATGTATTAATGGTGTGCCAGCACATGAATTGCTGCTGAAACTTTTGAAGCTCATATATTGTTCACTTGGAAGAAGAGAGAAGTCGGGATGGAGTTTGGATGTGTAATATGATTACTAAGTTTCTAGTTGCCATTATCTTTGTGGCACAAGTAGCTGCTTTGAATGTTAATGTCATGTACTTAAAATAATAATTTGTTGGAAATCTAGATGTGCTGTCAATACATTTATCTGGTGCCTGATCCATTTTGTGTATATATATATATATATATATATTATTATCAGTATCTGAGCGTGAGATGCACACAATCTGTCAGTCTTGATTCCTTTACACGTTATATGCTCTTTTATGTGCTGATATTTTAGGGACATGATAGCTCATTGTCATGCATGCATGGAGCTTTTTTTTTCTTTCCCCCACAACCCTGCTCTTGACCGAGTAGATAGTGGTGTTAGTGGCGCAACACCACGACCTTTTTATCTGTTTTACAACTCCTGCTAAGTATTGTGCCTGTTGGGCCTACTTCTTGTATCAACTTTGGTCAAGTTGAATTTCCTTCACCATCAACATGTGGGTTTCCTGTTTACATTAATGCAAGTGTCTCTAAATAAACACTAGGATCGTGCAGATTCCCAAAAAAAGTTAATATGGAAGCCCACAAAGACGCAGAGGAGGGATGGCCTTACGAAATTGGCTACCCACAGGCTAATTGGGTTCCAACGATACACTTCTCATGTCAAATGCCAGGGGAGGGGTTAGCCTATAACCTGGCTATAAATTTTGTAGCTCACAGGGGAAACAGGCTGGCTACTTTCAGCGAGTGATGCATAAAATCAACATCATAATCATTATGCCAACATATAAATGCTAATTGCCTTTGCCTATTTGCCAAACTAACTTAATTTGATGGTTGTCAACCATTAACAATGGAAAATAGAAGGATGAGATACATTCTAGTATTGACTCGAGCTTTATCCAGGAAAGACGAACCAGTGACTCAACTCCAGGTCCACATGCATGACTAAAACAGTTTTGACCTATCTCTCCTCTCTTGATCTAATTTTTTCTTTCCGTTGAATTGTTACGAAATGGGTTTTGTCAACGATGCCTTGGTGCAAAGTAGGCAATATGGGTCAATGACCCATAGGCAATGTTGGATTCTAGAAACAAGGACTCCAGTTTGTAAGCCCACTATCCAGCTCCATTTCATTATCATTAGTTCATTACCATGATTTTGTTGAAACGCACGTCTAAATTGGTTTGAGCAGAGATAAGAGGAATGGGAGAATGGAGCAGCTTTATATCTATAGTGAGAAACCTCTCTTTGCTTTATGTTACCCACAAATATGTCGGCACTGCTGCTATTGTAAGAAATCCCTCAACTATCTCCAAAACGAAACTCATGATTTTATTTTATTTATTTATTTTTGTTTTAATTTTTCTTTTGAATTTGGGGCAATGACTGGGTACTTTATAGACTTATGGTCCTAGCATGCTTCCAACCTTAAACATAACAGGCAATGTGTTGTTGGTGGAGCGCATTTCGATCCGAACCGGCAAACTTCGACCTGGAGATGTTGTGATCTTACGGTCCCCCCAGACTCCTAGGAAGATTATCTGCAAACGGCTGATCGGGATGGAAGGTGATCAAGTCACCTATGTGGTCGACCCCAAAAACAGTGATAGATGCAAAACTATTGTGGTAGTATTTTTTTGTTCCTGCTTTCCACTTTGCTAGTTGCTATACCGAAAATGTTTTTGTTTTTTTTTTTTTTTAAGTTTTTATTCAGTATTAATTTATTTGCTTTTAGTTAGGTTCCTAAAGGGCATGTTTGGGTAGAGGGAGATTACATCTATGATTCTAAGGATTCGAGGAATTTTGGAGCTGTTCCTTATGGTCTTCTCGAAGGCAGAGCTTTTTGGACGGTTAGCCTTTTCTCTTCATTTTTCATTTTACATCATTTTTCATGGTACTAACCAACTTTGATCATTTTCTTTTTGTAGTTATTGCCTCGTAAAGATTTCGGATCCTTGGCACCTAAACCAAAGTCATAATTTATTCCTAGGATTTGGATTGGTATTGGATAACTCTTTTGTATTGCCTATCAAACGGGGCTTTGTGCACATAACATGTTTGTCAAAATGTCTCCAAAATAGCATTGCTTTGTTGGGATTTGAGATTCTTTGAAGGCTTGTTTAGTGCAGGGGTTGATGTTAGAGCTATGGTATGGAATACGGAGAGTGGGTCTCAATTTGTAATTGTGCTCTTCCTTTTTGATGGAATTTTTAATTGATTTACATCAATAAAATCTTTTTCTAACTTTCAACGAATAATCAATCTTTTACATTATAAGGTATGCTTTCAAGTATAGTGTTGTTAATTTTTTTCTGATGTCCATAGTTTTGCATGAGATTCTGCCAATAAAGGTTAATGACATAAAGGGTAAAACAAAGTGCTTTACTTGCATTGTAGTTGTCAGGTTCAAATTTGCTGGACAATGATGATAACAAGATATCATTAACATTTTAATTGAATGAACATAAAGTCTGATAGCTTTGCCATTGAATTAGAAGAACGTCCTGGATCCTTGTGCACCTTAGTGTCCCTCGAGACAATCCTATAGAAACAATTATTGTTGTTAGCAGTATGTTCGGACATCAATTCATCTTTGGTACTATGATATTATTGAGACAGATTATGGTGTCCGTTGGAATAAACTTTTTAGTTTGCTACCTGTATTAATCTCTAAAGATTCATATTTTGGTGAAAACATGTAGTTGCCATGCACAAATCCTTTTGTTAGTGAATTTATATTATTCGCTTCAAATTTCTTTAGTGCTTTGGGCGTGGAAGAGTTGGCTAGAGGCAGAAGCAACCTGAAAGGGCCTTCAAAGCTGCGCAACAGGAGGAGCGGATGCTAAGTTGTAGGGGGTGGATGAAATTGTTTTGGTCAAATGAAAGAACCATGCATGCAGTTTGTTCCACAGAAAAACATATGTTTTGACTTCTGAGGAAAATGGTGTGAAGTTTGATTGATTCTATTTTAAGCTGCAACCTTCATTTCTTTTTAGTCTTGATGTATGGTGATTTTATAAAGTTCATGCTAGACATGATCCCAATTCCCAAGTGACGATATTTCATTTATAACAGAGGATAAACATTTTCCTGAAATTTAGTCCATTAATGAACCAGTATTTAGCAAGCATTTTACTAGATGTTCCATGACCATTTATGCATGGCAGAAAGTCTGCTGCCGTTGCCTAAGTTTGCGAAATGATATGAAATTCCATGTATATATCTTTGGGATAACATATTTCTCCAATGATATGCCATAGCCCCATAAGGCATGACATCATGCAAAATAAAGCAAAAATGAATGGGGAAGAATAAAGAGAAAGAAACTGGTAGATTTATCATCTATAAATTTAAGGCACATGTGACCAACCTTGATCAATAATAATGGCTGGCTTTAATTTATTAAGGAAACTATTCAATACCTACGAGTGTGGTACTAAAGTAAATCATCTAGCATTCCGATGCCATATACATGCTCCAAATGTCAAAAACATGGCAATGGCAACCTTACGGCTGTATTCCGACTGCCCTGAAGTCAGCAATTGTAAACTTTTGATCACTGCTCATTTGTGGAATCCAAACTCTTATTTGATCCGATTGTTCCAATTTCCATCTCACATTGCCCAGTTTGGAAGATAAGCACATGTATTTCTGTATGAAAGAGAAATTATGAAGGGCTAACTGTTGATACCTGCACTAATCGAAGCTCAAGTCACTGAAGGTCCTTCTTTATCTCCTAAAACCATCTTAATGAACATCTTTGAAGCAAATAAAGAAGATGTAGTAGTGCAAAAATAAAATTGAAAAGCAAATAAAAAAGATGCAGCGGTTTATGAAAAAATATCAACTGTGTAAAAGATTATTTTCATTGCAGAAGCACATAAAAAAATATCAACAAACTAAGCTTTATATCCATAACTCTAAAGTTAGCTGTATGAAAGACCAAAAAAGGAAATTATGTCAAGTCGTAGTTTTGAATCTTCTTGCGCCACTCATTTCTATAAAAAACAACCTTTTTGTCTACTTTCTTAACCCTCACATCATCTCTTATTACTTGCATTAGCATCTTTCGTGGTCTACCTCTAAAAGCACATCATGGAGACAAAAAAACAACACCCCACATCATTTTTAGCATTTTAAACTGGCCTTGTACAACAATCTAGAACCAATTCGTCAGAAATAGTCAATTACAAATCTATTGAACTGATGTAAGCTTTAGTCACTATTTTCCAATGTGAACAGGTACAGCACACCGCTTATTAATTACCTATTGTTGTATAGATATTAGAGGAATGGTGTTTTTCAGAACTTAAAGAACCCCAGACATTATCCAATGTTCACATTTTTAAACATGCATCAGCACAAATGATCATTTTTAACTGTCAGCTACCAATGAATGGATTAGCGTTTGGGTAATAATTAGTACCAATCAATCCCTGACAAAATCAGAACCACTCTCCGAGGTATATCTGATATAAAGATAATATGATGCTACAAAATTACCAATACGGGTAGACAGCAGTATAAAGACCACATCTCATATAAATACAAGTGAAATTTGAAAAATCAGGCTGACACAGAACAGAAATACGTATGAATAAGCAAATCCTATAGACACTGAATATATAGACAAATAAGACAAAAAAAGGGATGTGAACCTGATTCTATGAGCTTGCTGCAGTTGTCCAGCTCCGAGGATGGTGGATTTCAGCTGAACTATCAGTAATGAAAGTTACAGTCGTTGATTCTCCTTGTATGTTAGCTGTTGACATGGGTGGTAATTCTCTCATGACCCATAATACAAAAGCTGAGGGCACTGATGAACCTAGAAAAGCAAAATGAACATCACATAATAAACTTGACATTGTGACCTTTTTCCATAAGGCAGCCCTAACGAGGAGCATAAAAAGATAGAAGATAGGGCAGCAGAGTTTATCTCTTTCAATGTTGTCATGATAGCCTTGTTTCACATTCTGTTGTCAACAGGGCATAACTATGGCAATTGCCATTTCCCCATTCCATCCATATGTTCAGGAATCAATATGCTTGAATGATAAAATGGATGCAACAACAATATTTGCTAACGTCACATGAAAATTATTCCTCAGTCTGAACAGAGCAGATGGGTAACGGATGTTAAGGCACTTGTCTAATACCATAGGGTTTTGTACTTTGGTGGATCATGCTCAATTCAAAACACTAGATCTCCAACCTCCCATAGATCACCCAAGTCATTCTGTTGAGATATAAAGTTTATTAGATGCATATCTGCAAGGCTTTAAAACTCCTTTTTCCCTGGATATATCCCTACTTCTCATATAATGTCTAATATCCAAGTATGGTTAGATGAAGGTTCTTATAGCCATCAAATTTATCTTCCACGAACTTGATCTCTATAATTGCAAATTGCCAGATGAGGCTGAAGATTTAGAAACATTAAAATACACATGAAATATTTCTAATACAGAATTAATGCTAGATATGCATCAATGGTACAAAATATATGGATATTCCATGTCCTAAAAATTGATGTCCATAAATCGACAATCAAAAGCCTTTAGTTAATTTGAGCAAATTTGGGAAGCTTAGGGGAAAAATTGAATCAAGTACCTATAAAATAATATAAAATCAGTAAAAGAGAAGTACAAACACCATCTATTTGCAGTTCATGCCAGTTATAAAGCACCTGCAATCATAAAAACAGAAATAAGTTTATGAAGTTAGAAAATAAAACATAGAAAAAACAAACAAAAGAGAGCTGTGTACCGGAATATCAGTGAAAAGAGCCACAAAAGCACTTGATGTGAAACATATAACAGATACGATGGCCAAACCTGCAACCTACAGAAAACATATATCTCAATAGAACATCATGAAAAATAAGAAAACTATAAAGCCACTGGATTTTTAACAAAGATAAATGAATCAAATATAAACATGAAGGGCAAAGAATAGTATGTCTTCTAATTTGAGATCAAAATGACAAGACCACAGAGAATGACATAAAAGCATAAAGGATAATATGATAATACCTTCCAGATCTCAGATGAAGCTCTTTCAGATCTAACATTCCTCATTTTCCGACATAATAGGAGCCCTGAGCATTAGAAAGAAATATACAAAAACATAAGTATCTCTAAAGGAGAACAAAATATGTAAGATAAAAGAGTAATCTATTGTGGTGATAATCATAAGTACGAATTAGTCAATCAATCACAAAGACTAACCAGCAAAATTTGTTAGGCATCTAGGCCAGCCTGGGGTCATATCACCCATTAAACTAGAAGTTGCAATGAACTTCTCTAATTAATGTTACTTATGCTCTGTTACTGATCTATTAAGTAATCTACACATGCATGCTGTTAGATATTATGGGTGGGATGTTACAAATATGACTTCTAGTATTTGGTTCACAAATGCAAAGGAACAAGAACGTGTGGTTAGCCTGCTGTTAGACATTTTTGCAATCACAAAGTCATTACAATAAAGGACAAAATCTTCAAACAATGTGAAAAGAAAAACCAAAATTATGAAAAGAAAAGTCCATATAAAATGCTAGTTGCTTGCCATAACATGCTAACGCTCCACCTAAAAATAGTATTGCTGCAGCAAAAAGATCTACATAAACCTGCATGAGATAGGCAGTCAGTACTTCATGGCTTCACTGGTAATAAAAGAAATAAAAGAACACAAAGAAATTCCATAAAACATAAGTTTTCATTGTCTTTTATCATTTTCCAACCAATAAATTAAAAGAAAAAAAAAATTGTAAACACTATCTCCACCATAACCTTCTCTCTAACAATTAGAGACTTACATATGGTTATCTAAGAAAACAACAATAGATAAAATGAAAATAACATGTTAGATGTTCATACCCGAGCGACAGTTGATGAATCAATAGGATTATCTTCCATTCCAATCCAGATTAGCACAGCAAATGTCATCATAAAAAGAAATACAAGAACAGTAACCTGGTTAGAGAAAAACAGTATTAATGAGTTCATAAACATTAGGTTTTGCAAAATGACACAACAGGTAAGCATCATAAAACATCCATAATAAGAAACCATGACACAACACATGAAAACCATGATAACAAACAAAAGAAGAAACTATATCACTATACCAGAATCACTATTTTTTGACGGTTCCCAACGTGAATTAAACGTAAAGGATAACATATTCCGCGATTATCTGCAATTGATGACCTCGGTCTATTTAAAGAATTTTGTAGTAAAGCTTCCAGAAAGCCCTGTTCATCATCCTCTTCTTCTTCATCATCTGCCTGGTGGCAAAGGTCTACCCTATAAAAAATCCGCCAGACAGACATGGGGTATAACTGATGAAAAAACACTAAGTTTCACTCTGAAAGAAAATATGAAAACTTGAAAGTAACTAAAACTAGCAAAGTATATTATCCTCATTTATGAAACACTAAGCTTCAGTACCATTGCATTGGATGACCCTGGGAAAAGAGGAAAGAGGAAAAAGAAAGCTGTCCTGTATATTGGTTGATTAAGACATGATGATTTGGAGTCAGCCACTAAAGTTGATCTCCCTTTTCTTTTTTTCTATTTCCTTTTATTAGAAAAAAATGAAAAGTGCATATCTTGATTCTTGCAAATATCTCCAATTTTTAGAAGAGTATTTTGCTTGCATTTGAAAAAGTTACCTAAGATACATGATCAATTGATCATGTTTCACTCAAAGAAAATGTAAATAAATAAGTTAAAGAGAAAACATACCAGAATGACAAAAGTAGAAGAAATGTTGCAAAGAATAGAATTCCGGGGAAGGCTGCAACACACATATTTCAAGTAATTAATGCTTAAACTAATCTGCTGCAGTGAAAGAAAGAATTGGGGTCTTATTACGAGTATATACACTTACCCATAGCTACAAAACCACAAGAGTATGACCAGCATAGCCACCTTCTCCATACAGCAATGAGAGTCAAGACAAAATAAATGAAGTAACCTGCACGTAGATGAGAATTTGGCAATTCAGTTTGAATCAGAGATGTGATTCAAATCAATCTCCGTGTATAACGAAAGGGTCAACATAAGTGTAATATACAAATTCTTACCAGTATTAGTAGACCCAATCAGTAAATGGAACACCTGTTATTCACATTCATTTGGGTCAAGAACAAGTCAATTCATTTGGAAATAGAAATCAACATAATGACTCTTTTTTTTTCAGCCAACCAACATCATAGTTAGATGTACCATGAATTAGAATAAAAACAGAGGGAGAAAAGGAGAAAAGAAAAAAAAACATTAACATAAATCATATGCATACATCTTTAAGTTTACATATATGCGCACCGATGCATGGACATTACTAAACATTGACTTGACTTCAACCCCAAGTCTATCTTCTCCCATCTTCTCCCTTCACTGGCCCATAGATTAGTTTGATTATCTGTTTCCTCCATTCTACTAATTCCAGAATGGTACACCATGTTTTCTAATCATCCCAGTACAAAGGTCAGATAATAGATTAATGATTTAACTGCATTGTTACTGTTCTTAGTTCCCAATACTGGTCACTAAACGAACTTATAGCAAGTTCTTTTAGTAAATAATTAATAGCAGTTCCCATGGGTACAAAGTTACAATATTAAAAAAAAGTACAGGAGTCGAACATTGAGTTTTCTGTCAGTGTTTGAGGCATAAACAAAAAATTCTTCTGATACTTGCAACAAGTGTAGAAATTACAAAAGCTAGCAAAACACTTCTTAAAAAGTTGAAGTCTTGGGAATGTTGGTCAAATAGGTTTCTCCTCCAAGGCCTCCTGGGCCCAAAACTTTTCGAATTGATGCATGCTGTAGCTGCACCTTAATTTCGACCTAACCGTTTCTCCAAGTTCAAGCAGTGTCACAGGAGTCACCAAAATTCCTTCCTGTTCAGACAATTTCACCCAGGTTCTGCCTTAAGGGGTCAGATGACTCACACAGATCAGGTCAAGGTGCAAGTCCCCACTCAACCAGCTGGTCTGATGACACTACGTTAAACTAGCTAGCCTATGAAGTAGTTTGCATTCAAATAGAAATCTTTTAATTCAACTCAAAAGCTGCAGAAAGCGACATAAAACTTACTTTTTGGCGAGTCCATCCTAGCTGTGAATTCCTTGAGTGAATCCGCACTAGCTGACAAAAAAAGATGCTAGGATCACGAATTGCTAGGATGAAAATGTAACTTTCCTCAATATGCAAGCTATGCCACCCCCTAATTTTCAGTATAATGATCAACAAACTATTGCACCAAATTTGTAATTCTGTCTTGGTTTTTTTGACACAGCAATGACACATTGTCAACCAAAAATTGAATAAATACGATTGTTTTAAAAAAAATTTCCAAAGGGAAAACAACAGCATATATTGCTTCACCTCACTAGGTTTCTGTTATTGATTAGAACCTGAATATGAAGAATTTTCTTAAATTTATATAAGAGTAAGCAAAATTCACCAATATGTACTGCTTTTAGCCATAAATATGAAAATGTCACTTAGCATATGGTTCATAGAGATACAGTAAGCGATACAGTAAGCATGAAAGAAGACAGTCCATATATTGAATCTAAGAGTTGCCTATTCAACCAGCTTGAATTTGGGTCATCAGAGACAATTTCGTTCAGCAGTCTGGTTGGACTAATATTTCTCCAGCTAGCAAAGAACCATTTTCAAATAGATAATGTAAATCACCTTGAATTACTTTTTAGAAATGGAAATTAACTAACAATTAAACAAACATTACACCTCTTTCTCTATGCAAAATAACCTTCATTTAAAATTGAAAAGAACAACCAATGACTCAATGACCAACCCATCAAGTTATCAGTTTTATACAATCATCAAATAAAGAAGAAAACAAATATAATCACAACATGCTGAATGCAAAACCCAGATTAAAACAGTCCGAAAACATTTTCACTCTCATTTCTCCCATATTACAAACTATCCATCAATCAAAAAACTCACTAGACATCCAAAAAATCAAATTTTTAAGAAAAAATAGAGGAACAAACAAACCTGAGTAAAAGCAAGAATAGCAATAATGCCATCAAAACAAGCAAGACCCACATTTACTCCAACTAGTTCTCCTGAAAAAATACAAGACTTGTCCTTTTTCTCAAACATTTGCCTATCTCCACTTTTTCTCCGGCAGAAAAAAAGTATTTATCTTTTTATATTATTGGCTCTATTTTCTCTCTTAATAAACGAGGAAAAAGAGCATAAACGCTAAAACCCTTCTGGGTAAGAAGTGTACGACTTGAATCCGAAATCTTTTCAAAGTATCTGTCATGAAAGATCTCTTCCTTTCCTTTTTGTTGCTGATTCAGTTGCTATCTATGCTCTTTTTTTTTTTTTCATATTAGAAAAATAAAAAGGCTTTTTAAGAGGAAAGATTTAATTTTTACTTGAGGGTAAATTGGAGAAATTATTAATGGGAGATTGTGGAAAAAAAATCCGATGTTTTGTCACATCATATCACAAACACGCGGGTGGACTTTCGACTTGAGTTATGAAAAATATTATAATTAAGAGTTTGACAATATTATACTGTTATTAGCAGAAAATGAAAAATTATTGCTTTTGTTATATTATTTTTCTTCCCTAAAATTATGTAAGAGATTAAAGTTACTAACCTTGATTAATGGATTAAAATCTATCTAACATTTTTTTTTTCAAGGGAGACAGAGCCTTGAAACAAAAAAAAAGAAGAGAGGTTGAGATCAAATCCTAATTTTATATCTTTTTAATATTTTTTTAATCATTAAATCAAAACGTTAAAGATATTATTTTTTAATTTATTTATAATAAATAAGAGTTAAAATTTTATTATATTAAATTGAAATATTAATTTAAATAAAATTTATTTAATATAAAAAATTTTAATTATAATTATAATTATTTTTAATTTTATCACCTATCCATCCATAGAAATTTAAAAAAAAAATCAGCTTTTTACTTAAATTAAAGAGGTATATTTCAATTTTGGAGTTTTTTTTTATTAAAGGTACAAGTGTAGTACTAAAATGGTACCCCTAAGAAAAATGGGTGGAAAAAAAATAGTTGAGCAGTCCTAGAGTAGGGAGGGGCATGGAGAAACTAGCCTTTTTCAGCTTCTTATGGTCTTACTTACTTGGTTGAGGGTGATTACGTTGGAATTGATAAGATTCGGTTTCATTTTTTTTAATATTAAGTAATATTACAAATTCATAAAATTACATTCAAAATTAAATTAAATTTTTATAAAATTTCAATCGAATTGGATTAAATTTTATTAGAGTTTAATTTATTAATTTATTATTTAAATATAAAATTTTAATTTTTTAAAATAAATTTTGATATAAAATTATTATTTTTATTTTATAAAAATTTAAAAAATATATAAATTAAAAAAATATATATTTTTTGATTTATTTTTTTTTTATTTTTTGCATTTAAAATTTAATTCGAATTTAATATTTAAATATAATTAAAATCAAATAAAAAATCGATCAAAATTAAATCAAATATTATAATTTCAAATCAAATTTTAATTTTTTCAAAATTTTTTGTCCGCCCTAGATTGTGGTTGGACACATATGAAGAAAATTACAAACTGTCTTATGTTGAGGGAATTACAAGAGCTTCTTCATTGTCTAGGACAAATCACTTTAAGGTTTCAAATCATACAAAGCCCAAAGACAGCCTTGCCTATGGAATCTACAATCTATCTTTCTTGTTTTCTTTTTGGACCAACTTCAATTATTTAAATTGGACGTTCAAAATAATAAGAACTTTCTTCCTTCTTCCTTCAAAAAGTTAAAGCGCAAGACATTCCATCGAAATATATGAATTTCTGTATGTTTCAATTTGTTTATTTTTTTTAGTTCTTTTTTGTTGTTTCTTGTACAATTTCACGACAAACTTTAACCCCACTGACAGGGACATGGGGTTTAAGCTACAAATTTATGTCCGTAATTCATTTACTTAATGATTTTAATTTCATTAACATTCAGTTTTACAGCTCCATTTCTCATAATAATCATCATATCATATGGGTAATAATGATTCGATTCAGATCAAATTTGATAATTTTTTTATATTATATAATATTATAAATTTTTAAAAAATTATCTAAATTTAAATTAAATTATTATTTTATTTGAATCAAATTGAATCGAATCAAATTTTACGAATTTTATTCGATTTAATTTATTAGTTTTTAGTTTTTATATAATATTTTAATATAAAATTTTAACATATTAAAATAAATTTTGATATTAAATTATTATTTTTATTTTATAAAAACTTAAAAATATATATAATTCAATTTAATTTGATTTTTCAACTTTTAATCTAAAATTTGATTCAAACCTAATATATATTTAATATTAAAATTCGATCCAAACTAAATAAAAAAAAATCAATTCAAATCAAATTAAATATTATAATTTTAAATCAATTTTTAATTTTTCTTTTTTTTTTCTCAGCCTTGGTCAGGTACGTTCCACTTGTTTCGTTAGGCACGGAAAATGTACCCAAAACTCATCAGCAAATAATACAAAGAAGAGGACAAAGGGTTTATACGTCAGGTTCGGCTTAATTAATTTTCTGTACTTTGGGACAAAGGCTGCTGATTATCTTAGTTTAGTCAAATTCTAATTTGATTTTTCATTTCATCACGTGCATATTTTTCTTGTAGAAAGGTTTATATCATAAGCCTTCTTTTTTGTTTTCTTATTACATATTTCACTTTCGGCATCTTCTTTTTGTAATGTTAGGAACCTCTTTCTTGAAACTAAAGTTAGGGTTTTTCTCATTTTCTGACAAATTTTAGTCATCATATTTTTTTAATCTGAAGCTCTACAATAATTTTTATACAAAATAGTGCCTGGAAATAAATATATATTCTAAATGTGAAGAAATTTCAAATGAAATTTAATGGACTATTTGTTGATCCAAATTTTTAGTAAACCATATATGAATTCAAGATAGCCAATAGGTGAAATACTGCTAAATTACATAAAAAGTTCTGATTAATACTAAACCAAAACAGGCAAACGCCAACTCAGTTTTTCATGTATAAAAATACGAACAATCATCCCAAAACCCTCAGTTTGGAAGGAAAATCAAATATAGGAAGATAATTTTCATATGACCAAATCTTCCCTGTCCCTGCAAATGCAAAACCTGGAACAATTTTCAAGGCTGGTTTTCAATTTCAGCATTGGAAGGAAACTAGGTAGGCTCCTTTGGATATTCACGTATGGCCTTTGTTCTTATCATCTAAGTATATGACAAATTAGAAAGGCCTGTTGAGGATCTAACCTTGCCTCAGCTTGAGCAGATGAATTCTTCATTGGAAATTGGTTCCATGAGATTAAGATTGGATTTTCTGCTTCATCCTTGCCTTCAACAAATCCAGCTCAAGCAACTAATTGTCCATTGCACCTAACATGACTAAGAATAATAAGTTTAGCATTCCTCATAGCAATGCAGAAATGAAGATGGCTTTGAATAAATTAATTGTTATTTAATCACACAGTATGTTATATGAGCATGAATCGGCTTCTAAGAAAATAAATAGACTCCTCCAATTTATGCATCTGAAATTCATAACAACAAAAGAATAAAAAGAGTGTAAAACACCAAACCTGCTAAAAATTTTATAGCTTCTTTCCCAAAGACCTTTGCTGTGGCTTCACGGGAACACTTTAAGTCTATAACCTGGATGCCAGTACTGAATTATAGCAATCTAGTTCACTTGCATTCCTATAGATCTAATGCAACAGTTCAAGCAAATAAACAGTAGAGTAATGACAGGAAACCAGTAATCATTCAAGCCTCTTTCTTATTGCAGGCAATGAACTAACCACTGACTATTAAAACAAATTGATACTCCATTTTTCCTCATTGATTTTGGTTTTTGGACATGGAAAAATGATGAACTGGATAACACTGTTATGTGTAGAGTTATGTTGTTTATTCTGTTGTCTTCAACTTTCATTTACCAATTAATACTTCTCTTTTTTACAATTTCTTTGTAATTCTGAAATGGCCATATCCCATATGATAGATACAAAAGAACTTCAACACAATGTTTGCATCCAAGAACTTGTTATTAGTCCTGCAATTTACAATAACAATAAAAGTTGAATTATTAGAACAACTGATTGCCTTCTTCCATTCTATTCTACATAACTCTGCTGTCAAAGATTGCACTCTTTCATGCATGGTAAAACTAAGTAGAAAGGCAAAACCAGGTTTATTTCAGACGCTATTGATAGCAAAATCTTACTAGATTGGCAGAAAAAGATCATGTTTACAGCCTGACTTGTTCTAAAATTTACTATAATGTGCAATGCAAGAAATTAAAGAGCAGATATTTCCTTTTGGTGTCTTTTTTCTTTATTTCTTTGGAAGTCCTCCCTCTTTCAATCATTCAAATCAGTTATTCCAGAGTTAAGCCTCTAACTTTACTGAGAATAGCATCAATTTTCAGTACTATTACTTTTCAACATATAACTGACTTGGAATGCACCTGATATCATAAATCTTTTTCTACTTATGGCATATTTGGTTTAATATAGGAGGACTCCTAATGAGTCTTCCCCACTGGCAAGCATTATCCTAATTCTATCAGTTAAAATTTTTGAACAACTAATTATATACTAGACAGTTGGTAATACAGCAAAATGTGTACTGCAGACCAGAATTATCTTAGCACTTATTTGGCAATGATCAAGCCCTAACAAACATGATTGATGAGTCAAATTTATAAGTAAGAAGTCAAGAAACATATCTACCTACTGATCAGAGACTGGACTCTCAATTGTTAACATGATCATTGGGGCTAACATGGAATGGATGCTATCAATTGTTGAAAGATATACATCATAGTACCATAGCCTAATTAAGCATAGTTAATCACTACTTAGACACAATTTGCATAAGTGTATGTGACAGATGGTTAGTATTAAACATACTAAAGTGAGAATTTATAGTGCCAATGGAGATATTTGTTCTTCATATGCTAAGAGAGGCAACGACAGAAAGGCGACAACTTAAAGGGCTAATTTCATTAGCTTGTGCATTTAATTTCTTCAGTTTCCTGTCCTATATATATGCATCTCCAACCAACAAGGACTTCATTCTAAAACAACTAGAAGGCTAATATAGCATTCCTTTTTAACCTTCTTGTTTGTTTCTTCTTTCCTCAGATTTTTTAGCAATGTCAGGTTCAGGGAAGAAAACTAAGGGCAGGCAAAAGATTGAGATGAAGAAGATAGAAAATGAGGAAGACAGGTTGATCACATTCTCAAAACGCCGATCAGGGATCTACAAAAAAGCAAGTGAGCTAGCTACTTTATGTGGTTGTGAGGTTGCTTTTATGGTCTTCTCACCAGCAGGTAAGCCTTTTTCATTTGGCCACCCCTCTATTGAATCTGTTGCTAACCGCTTTCTGAACCAAAACCCCCCTCCAAATGACAACACTCATCCTCTTGTGGAGGCTCACCGGAAGATTAGAATCAATCAGCTAAGCCAGTATTTGAATGAGCTCCTTAGCCAACTGGACGCAGAGAAAGAGAAGGCAAAGATGCTTGATCTGCTGACACATGGGAAACAAACTCATGGCTGGTGGGAAGCTCCCACTGATCAACTTAACCAGCAAGAGCTCGAAAAACAATATTCAAATTATGAGGAGCTTCTCAGCAATCTCTATGGCAAGATTAACGAGAAGAGTGCTGTAGCCACTTCTTCACTTGTTGCTCCAACTGATCCTGCTCAGTTCACCGATACATTTACAACCATTGCCAATGAGGAAGTTCCTGCCTCCTTTCCTCCTGGCTACAACCATGGTGGGCAGCAGTTCTGAACAAGTCAAACTGTCTTCGAAGTCTACCATGTTCCGAATCCAAAAAGTTCTTGAAGCAGGAACTTTTGCCTGCATCTTTGGATAAATAAAAGAGTTTACTTATCCAATAAATAAACTCTACCTTGTTAGTTGTTATTTACTGTTTTCGTAACGATCTTAGGCTTGTGAATTTTGGGATCGCTAAAGACATACATGATAATGTTTGTCCATGTAGCTAACCAATATCAAGTCTATGATAGTTTACAGCAGTCCTGTGTCTGCCTAGGACTATTTCAGTTATGTATCCCAGTATCAGCTATCTTATTTCAATAAACTGGTGATTAATAAAGGTTTTTTAATCCATTTCTATCATTATTACTGCTTGAGAGAAAATTTTTCTGCCAAGTAAACATTTGAGCTCAACCTTGAGCATTACTTACATTGATGACTCAGTTAAACTTTCATTCATATGTTGCTATCAGAATAACCCTAAAATATTTTCTTATTAAGGAAACAAAATCATATATTACAAGGGAATATGCTCCCCTCCTTCAAGTTTCCACATCAAGTTTTGCAGCCAGATAATTAAAATTAATGAAGTTTTCTAGAAGACTGCTCTGCTATGAATTATTTTATATCTATCTAGTTTTCACTTCAAGATTAATGGTAGCCCTTCTTAGCAGACACAACCTTGTTTTAAGAAACTAATTATAGCGTATGGAATTTATGTAGGAATGTTCCTTCTATAAACTTTCACTCTTCATATCACTCATTGATAATATTTGCATAGAAACTGGTTGCTTTTGTCAACCACTGCTAATTGCATTACTGTAACTCTTTAAGTCTCAATATCACACTGCCATTGTGAATGGAATTGAATAAACTAATGGTAAGAATGTAGCTTCATTTGAAGGATTTCCTCCACTTTTTCTTCTCTATTTTTCCATTCATTCAGTTTCAAGTTAATTAAGGTAAGAAACTGAAATCTTCACAGCAATTTTTCATATCAAAAGCTCCCAAAGCACAGATTTAACATGAAAATTGGTTTCTGCATATGATTCCATTGTTTTTTTTTTTTTTTTTGCTGATATTTAATTTCATTGCTTAACATTATATGACAACATGAATTAAGGAAAAAGAATTATTGATTGCAAAATAAGATTAATAAAGGTTAGAAGTTCATATGTTTTTAACTTTTTATTGGTTTTAAGGTAAACCATGATTAACCCTGCCGCTTACCAGCAATTAATATAACAATTATTGATTACAATTATACTTCCTATCTGTACACTCTCAAATTACATAGGTCATTTATTAAAAAGAAAAAAGAAAACTAAGCCAATTTGTACTAAATGACCTTCTTTTGATTTTTATTATTATCCACTTTCCACCCTTCTTTAGGGAAAAACACTTCAATCATTCTGGAAAGAAAAACTAAAGGATTAAAAAAATACATTAAAATAAGTTAGTTTTAATCATTTTATTCGAATTTTAGATAGGAAGTATATCAATGGTTCCACGTTGGCAACTGTCAATTCTAAATTTGTATGGTTTTTTCACTTGGGTGGGCAGAAGAGTGGAGGATTTTGGTAGGTTTGCCTTTGACACTCTGGTTTTTTAAGATGATTCCATCCATGACAAATCATGTTTCCTAAATAGATTTCATTGACAAATAAAGCAAATCATATTATAGTAAGTTGTTTTGGTATAAATAGTGCCAATTTAATTCTTAATCTTTTTTAATTGTTACAGCCTTAATCTTTCTGTCAATTAATGACTCTATAAAGATTGATGAAATGTACATGTAAGCAGTTCCAAGTAAGCACCTCAGTGGGACCAATTGCTTTGACTGAGTTACACACATGGCGTTCAAATGTTCTTTTCTTCTCATTATCAAGTTACAAAAGAGAGGAGGGAAGTTGAGCAAGAAAAGCACTTGGTTTTTTCAGAAGAACCAATCAATGGAAACTGGAAAGCTATACACCAAATGGCATCATTACCCCCAGAATTTAATTGTTTTCTAAAATCTGATATTTTTCAAAGAGAATTAAATTGTGCCAACAAAACAATGTTAAAGTTTCATAATGACAGGAGTAACCCAAATTAGGAAACATGCATAAATTCTTTCCATGTTGGGGAAAAATAATTATACATGGAAATAATGAAGGATTTATTAGTAGCATCAAATATTGGAAACATTTTCAACTCATAAAACCCTTCAATTTTCACTAGTTTGTTCTTATAAATGTTGATCTGTCCTGAGAACAATGTATTATTCCTTCCTCCAAAATATTTGAGAAAAAAAATCATGGGCCGGCGAAAAATTGAGATGAAAATGGTTAAGGATAGCGGCTCGAGGCAGGTCACTTTCTCCAAGCGCCGATCAGGGCTGTTCAAGAAAGCAAACGAGCTTGCTACCCTTTGCGCTGCTCAAGTTGCCATCGTTGTTTTCTCCCCTGGAGGAAAGCCCTTCTCGTTTGGGCATCCAAGCGTTGAGGCAGTGGCGCAAAGGTTTCTAAATCAGGAAGCGAAACCAAAAGTTTCTATTCCTGGCCAGCAGGTTGAGTCTCAGCAAGAAACTAAAGTTGAAAAGCTTAGCCAGCGGCTTAATGACCTTCTCAAGCAGCTAGAGGCAGAAAAGAAGCGAGGAGAGATGCTTGATAAGGCGATCAAGGCAAATGGAAAACGCAAGTACGAAAAACCCATCAATGAACTCAACCTGCATGAGCTTTTGGAGATGAAGCAATCAATGGAGGAGCTTCGTGAGAATCTGAAAGGGCGAGTTAACGAGATTGAGGCTTCGTCTTCTTTGCTGCTCCTATCGAACAATGCTGTCAAAGAAGCTGATCATGAATAATCAACTAGTCAAAGTTGCTAAAAATGGAAAAAGAATGAAAATTGTACACCATCTCTTATAAAACTCTGAATCCTAATATACAAGTAGATGGTTTGTTCTTGAATAGAATTGATCTCAATTTCCCAAATATGATGAGTTCAGTTGATAATCTTGTTAGCTTAGCAATTTTTTTTTTATTTTGAAAACTATAAATTATAAATTATAGTATGATAAATCATTATATCAAAATTTCAAATTCTATTAATATTTTTAGAAAATCTTTATAAAAAATACATAAATATTTGAGCAAGAACATTATTGTACTAAGCTAATGACGGTGTTGCATGACGACGCAGTAGGCAGCTGCCATGTGCATGCAGAATCATAGCAGTTTAAATTGACTAAACTGATTTAAAATCCATAATTTAATTAAATTAGTTTAATTTTTTATTTAATCGATTTAATCGGTTTGTAAAGTGGTTTAAATAATTTAATCGGTCGGTTTGCGATTTTAAATTTTACAAACTGAAGCGATCAAGAAAAACCGACTTTTAATAATTAAATATTTAATAAAAATACCCTTTTATCCTTACCTAATACTCATTAACGAAATCCTAAAATCTAAAATCCCTGTTCTACTATTCTCATTTCCCTGTTTCTCTCCCAGACGCCTCTCTCCATCCTTGCTATCGCTAAAGTTTCTTTTCTCTTTCATTTTCTCTCCCTTCCTCGTGAGTCAAGCTCCAATTCCTCTGAACCTTTGTCCTTATAATTTTCAGGCTTTGTATTTTCTTCTTCACTAACTTACACTCAGCTCTTTTAATACTTCACTAACGCCAAAACTGATAAGATTTTCTTTTTCTTTTTTCAATTTTCCTTTTAATTGGTTTTTAGAAAATGCTTAATCCTTTGTTTCTCCTTACCTGCAATTTTGCTTTTTTTAAGTTAAAAAGTTAAAACTTCTTTTTTTGGATGTAAAATTTTAAATATTATCTTAGGAAAAAAGATAAAATTTTGAATTTTTTTAGTTGTATTTACTTTTTTAACGTGTACGTAGATGTTATTTATTTATTTATTTTTAATATCTTATTGATAATTTTAGATTTTTGGTTTATTTAGGGTACTTTAGTCATTGTCATTTCTTAAGTCTTTTTCACTAAATAAGATGCTCTTGATTCTGAAAATGAAAGTACGGTGGTTTTGTTAATGTGTTATTTTTTAATTATGTTAGAAGGATGTTAATAATTTGATTTTAATTGAATTAATTTATTTAATGAATTTAATTTAATTAATCGATCGATCATTAAATTAATTTTAATTGATTATTGAAAATAATTTTAGAGAAGTTTTGGTTTTTGAAAAATTAAATTAATTGCAATTTTAATCAAATTATTATGTATAAAATTAAAAATTTATGAATTTATCCATTTCATTTTTAAGTTCTTAAAGTTTTTAATTTAATATTTTTGTTGAATAATTTTATTTATTTTGTTTCATATATTATAAAATAAAATTTTAATATATAATTTAATTTAATATATTTTATTATTTGATTAATTGAAAAAGTTGATCGAACTAATTAAATTAATTTCAGTTGATTAATTTTTAAAATTAAAAATTTAATTTAATTAATAAAAATAATTTAATTTAATTTTAAATAATTTAATTTAAAATTAATTAAACCAACCGAATAAACATTCTAATTGTTATGGATGGTGTAGAGATTTTTAAAAAGAAAATGTTTTTTTACAATTTACTTTACAAATAAAAAAAAATTACTAAACCAACCAACTAAAGTTGATTCGGTTTATGTCAATTTTTATTTTTTTAATCACTCAATTTGATTTTTTGTATAAATTAAATAAAATTTTAAAATTTTATAATCGAATTAATCAAATCGACCTATGCTTACCAAAATCAGCAAGTTTCTGTGGCTTTTGATAAAGCATGCCAGGCCCAAAGTTAAATTTAAATAGGTGATAAAATGATGGTGGCTTGGCTTTGGAAGACCAGGAAAAAGGCCATGCGCCTTATGGAGGCTTGAATTGGTAAAATATTATGGCCTCACGCTCATCCCCGCGTTGCTTTGTGGCCACGAGCGCTGCCATGGAATTGTTTAATTTCAGCATTTTCTTCAAACCTGTTTGCAAAAGAAGTGACCAACTCTATCACGTGTCTGTTTCCACGGTCTACATAATAAATTTGGACCATACACTTTTTGGCTTTTGATGATTATACTTAAAAAAATAGAAATTACTGCACAGATTTCTTTCTATCATATTTCTTATAGGTTAAAAATGTTTTTTTTTTTTTTACATTTTTTTAGTATAAAAGGGATTAATTTAAAAATAAAAAAAAAGATTGTAAATTTTAGAATTTAAATTTTTAACATACTAAATATAATCTCTCAAAAATAATTAAATAAACTAATTGAAACTTCGAATTTAATATTTTTCATTTTATCAGGGGCAATACTATGGTTAGAAATTTGTTCAATTTTATCTTTCCCATTCCATCTATGTTGATAGAATTGATTTCAACAGCAAGATTTTTGTGAAATTTTTTGTTTTTTAATCAAATTCTCTAGCATGTATATAATTTTTTATTTAACATTGTATGATATTATTATTGATATTGCAATAAAGAAAACTTTTATTAAACATTAAGCAAGTATTGGTAATAATTTTCAAATTATAGAAAGTAAGGATATTCATAATTGAATTTTAATCGAATTAATCGATCAATTGATTTAATTTAATTGATTAGTTGATTATCAAATTAATTTTAATTGATTATCAAAATTTATTTTGAAAAAATTTTGATTAATTTAGTTTGAAAATTAAAATAACCGAATTAACCAAAATTTTAATCAAAATATTATAAAATATATACATAAAATTAAAAATATATAAAATTGCTCATTTTATTTCAAATTATTAGAATTTTTAACTTAATACTTTTGTATTTAAAATTTTTTTGGATGATTTTATATAATTTATTTAACAAATAAAAAATATAATTTAAAATATAATTTAATTTAACATATCTTATTATTTAATTGATTGAATAAATTAACTGAATCAATCTAATTAATTTTAAACAATTAATTTTTAAAACTAAAAAAATTTAATGCTATTAATAAAATTAAAATAACATAATTTAATTCAAAATTAACCAATAAAATCCACCAAAAAAAAATAATAGAAAAAAAGGTCATCAGCTACAAGCGTTTGAACTTTGACGTCAAAGTATTGAAAGGAGAGGAACATTCGATTTGCAAGAAAGATCAAGAGTCCACGCGCACGGATGCTTTTCAGTTCCCACCAGTTGATGGAGCGTGGAGGCTGAGACATTTCCTCTCCTTCTCCTTCTTCTAGGCTTTAAGCCGAAAGGGACAATAAGAAGGTCCTAAACTACTACTAATAAATAAAATTTGTTGACTTTCCCCAATTTTTTTATTTATAATTTTACTTCTTCCACTACTTTCAACCCCAAGAGACGGTTCTTGGAAAACTGGAAATAGCCATTTTGAATTTTTTTAAATGCAACCCAGGTTTACCAAGCTAACCCTCTCTCTCCCACGACTCTTTTTATCCGCGTATCTCGAGGAAACTGTACTTTTCCTCTCCAATATTTAACAACCCTCAACTCCTCTTCTTCTCCAACCAAAGACCAAAGCACAAAAAGAATAGAAAATAAAAAGGAAGTGATGGTTAGGACGAAGAGATGGGTGTTGTTTAAGAGGCTGATGAAGAAGGAATCGTGGAGGTGGAAGTTTTTGGGGTCTGCTTTCAAGTGGAAGAGGCTAAACATTCAGCTTTCTTTCATTGATGATGTGCTTTTCAGGATTGCGTCGGTTTTAGAGGCTATCTTCTTGGTGGCTACTCTCTGTTTCTTCTACCTTTGTTGTGGCTGTCACTTTTGACAGTTGTATATGTAGTTATGGACATGTACTATGTATCTATCTTTTTTTTTCCTTTTTGGGATGTAGTAATATTCTGAATGCTGAGTTCAGACCTGGGTTTTGAGAGGGAAAGTGATTGCATGGTGGTTTTCATGGAAAAGAAATTACTTTTCACCATTATGTAAGATGTTCCAGTACTCGTTGAAGGGTGGTGGAAAACTGGAAATGTAAGGAAGAAAGCCATCTTGGTAACTTTAGCCTTTATTGGGGAAGTTTTTAAGTTAATGCGTCAGTTTCTTGATGTATAAAGTTAATGGTTAATTAAATTAACTTCTGCTCTGTTGAAGAAATGTTATCTCGTTTCTATTTTTCCTCCTTTCTAATTTTTCTTTGATTTTCCTCTTTGGTCAACGGTGGATACAAAGAAAGGGAGACAGCCTTCTCTGGCATCTGTACAAGATTGATTGGAGCCATTTTCAATTGCCAAATCTGAGTGTTCATACAATGATGCCTCGGAATATAGGTGTCTGGCACCTTTAATCATTTATGAAAAAGCCCATGATCTTGCTTACTTTTATAATGCAGAATACTTGGTTGATGTTATGGCAGCTTTAAGTAGTAGGCCATGGCAAATTGGCAATGCATCATTCGCTAAGCCTTCTTTTTCACCCATTTTCCATGAATAAATTCTTTTCTTTACTGCTAACGAAGGAAAATGTTAGAAAATTTTCTGCTTAGCGTGATAAGGTTTAAGGGTTAAAGTTTCTCAATTCAATAGGTTATGACTTTTGAGTAGGCGTTATGCAGGACAGGAATCTTTTGGCCTTATGTCTTCTCGGAGAAACAAGACAATATCAACCAAATTTAACAAAAGAAACCAGACAAAGCAAAAGGTAAGTCTAGGAACAGAAGCAACTACACTTTTAGCTAGAGCCTCTAGGATATTGGGAATGGAACTGGAATCTTTACTGCCAACGAAGGAAAATGTGAGGAATTTTTCTGCTTAGTGTGATAAGGTTTAAGGGTTAAAGTTTCTCAATTCAACATGTTATGACTCTTGAGTAGGCGTTATGCAGGACAGGAATCTTTTGACCTTATGTCTTCTGGGAGAAACAAGACAATATCAACCAAATTTAACAAAAGAAACCAAAGTAAAAGGTAAGCCTAGGAACAGAAGCAACTACTCTTTTTAGCTAGAGCCT